ACATGCTCATAGCCCCGAGGTGATGGCACCGTCCCCCAATTAGAGATGAGGAAACTGAGGCACAGAGAGGCGAGGTAACTGCTGAAGGCTGCGGAGAAGCAGAGCCCAGAGATCTGGCTGGCGAGCTCTTCCTTGTTCTTAACCACCTGCCGTTTTGATGTTCAGTACTCTGAGTGACTACTTTGTCACCACTCTGAAGCCAGAGTGTCCTGTCTGTGGGGACGAAAACCATGTGCCGTCCTGAAGAAAGGCTTCTGACTAAAATGACTCGATTTCATGCCCACAACAGGGGAAAACCTACATAAGGTCCTGGGAGGCCCGGGGCTCTGGCAAGGCCAGCAGAGGACCTCCTCTGAGCAAAGCTTCTGGCACCTTCAGCCAGGGGAAGCGGCTGGAGCTCCGGACCGGGGCTCACCTCACTCCTGGCCACGCTGCTCTGTGCCAGGGACGCTGCTCTGTGCCACGTACGCAAGGGACACAAGGGACCGGGGCTGGAAGGAAGTGTGTGGCATTTCCTGAGTAGGCTAAACACAAGTTCCCTTTCTCAAAACTGTGAATTCAGCCACAGTTTTAAAAATGTATGCTGCAATTTACATAAATCCACCCAAGTTCCAACTGTTAGAATGTTGCTTCATAGAGAAAGTTGGTTGACTTTTTAAACTACATAGAATCGCATATCCCCAACCCAATGCTACATATGTGCTTCAATAAGAGTAACTAAAACCATTTGTTGTTTTTTTTAAATACGTGGATTCATATATTAATATTACAAGCTTAGGGTAGTTCATGCCAAGTATCAGTCTCAAATGAATTTCTCACTTATTAAAAATAAGAACTGCATTACCTTAGATGTAAAAGAAAGCTCTCACTGGCCCCCGAAGGCTTGGGTCAGCCTTTCCAGAGACAACTTCCTCTTGCCTTGGTGATTCATCTTGACCTCAAGATGCTTTGTTCTAGAGTAGCCTATATTTCATTCCCGTATTTTCTACTTTCCTTATACTATAAATTTTTGTTATATGAAATAAACCACAGACTAATAAGGCAAATAGGAAGAAAAAAGGTTAAAAATGCTTTTTTAATACACTAAAAACATCTACCTCCATATCCAGCCCTAATGTGAAATAGTAACGCCTAGGCACCAACAGGTAATTAAATCCACATTTTGTTTCTGGCTTTCGCTTTCCACTGCTGGGTGGCCGTGTGAGGGCCATCCAACCCTCCCCCATCTCCTCGATGTCCTGAAGCCTGGCTCAGCATTCTCTTCCCTACCTCAGGGAGACAAACGCAGGACAAATGAGATAAGAATCTGGCAAGAGTAAGAATCTTGATTTCTTTGGAATCCAAATTATATTTTCATAAGATCATTTCATCAGCATTAAGCACCACGAATATGGGCAAGAATCACTGCTAAACTTACTTTTGGAACAAAGAGATGCCATATTTTAAAACTGATGTTTTCAAGGAAAGAAATGTGCTCATGGGGCATGTGGTTTGTATCTGTGACCTGTCTACTCAAGCTCTGTGAACAGTGCTCCCTGGAAAGAGGGCGTCTCCAGGAGCCGCTCCTTAACAGACCCTTCCAGAAACATCCTGTGCCTCATCTGAGAATGACTGCAGCGCTGGGCAGATAACCTTCCCTTAAGAAGTCTCCAAGAGGCCGAGTCAAAAACACCCCCCCACCCAGTTTCTGAAATGGACCAAAGTCCGTGATAACAACTAACTCACAGCAGACATCATAAATTAAGTCAAACAGGCAGAATATGGTTAAGTAATTTCCCTCACCAGAGGGAATGATGATGCCTATATCATCAGAGGCTGTTTAAACTTGAGGCTATTTAAACTTTCTGCGGAGTGGAAAAGAACCTTGAGACATGAAGTTACTGCCATTGGAGGGAAAGGGGTTTTCTGGTTAAGCCTAGTTCAGTGAAACTGCATTTTACAAGCTGACTCAAAAAAGCAGGTAGTTTCCTAATATTCAAAATGTGTTTTCCTGAATCATCTACGACCCCGAAATATCTACTAGAACAAAAAGGGAGATGGGTGCAAGAAAATGTTTTGGAAGCAGAGAACACACAAAAGCCGGCATTCATGTGGTAGCAAACACATCCCTTCTTTGTAAGGTCCAATGGGAGTGTCCTCCCCAGACTCCAGATTTTGACTTATCGTTATAATATCTCACATGCTATTTATTCTCATCCCAAGTGCAGACCCCAAGAACTGAGGAAAGTAACTTGCTGCATTTCTACAATCTTAGGAAGATAGCTCACTCCTTTTTTGTACTTTTGAACCTACGAAGGACCTATGGTCTCAGTGAGGGATATTAGAGGAAATACATGCCATGTCCACTTAAAAAATGAGTTTTGGAGTGTCATTACTTCCAGATGGTTAGGAATCATGGGAGGCTGTGGTCACGGCTCCACCAGAAGAGCCGGGGAGAGCCTCTGCAAAGCCCAGGTGCAGGGGCATGGCAGTACTTGCAGAAGTGGTCCTTAGGGGTTTCTGAGCCACACAACAAAGTTTAGAGACAATGCAGTGGAGCAGGTAGGCAGAAACTGGTGAATTACCTCCACAGAATATGTAACAGGCAGTTCTCTAAAGACCCTAGCATCCCACCAGACTCCCAGGGTGAAATGATTAATTCCTACAAACCTGTACTTTTCTGGTAGTGATTCATTCCTCCTCTCTCATTGGGTACAAACAGAATTTGCTGTCTTAATAGCAACAGCCTTAGGATAATGCCTCATTTTTCTATGGTAGTTGTGCAGGCCTGAGTCCAACTTCACGTAAGCCTATTATACTACAATAGATCCAAAGCACAAGCAGTTACACGGTTCCTAACTACAGGACACAGCCTTATTTTTGTGAACTGCAGTCAGCCACACATCAGGGGACCAGGAGCCAGGAGTGGGCGCTTGCCATCTCAGAGTGGGAACGGGAGAGCCGGAGCACCTAACCAGACCCAGGGGGCATTTGCACACCACTACCGCCAACCACCCAATTACCATATGCTGCCTAAAAAGACACTTGCCCCTTCTTTTTGGACCAACCTCTAGAAAAGTCTTAGCACACCTTCTAAAAGGCAAACCTTTTACATTTATTTATCTCTTTGGCAATTTCACTCAAATACCATATGATTTCACTCATGTGTGGAATTTAAGAAACAAAACAGATGAACATAGAGGAAGGGAAGAAAAAATAAGATAAAAACAGGGGAAGCAAACCGTAAGAGACTCTTAAATACAGAGAACTGTGGTGGGTGGGGGGATGGGCTAGATGGGCGATGGGCTTTAAGGAGGGCACTTATTAGGATGAGCACTGGGTGCTATATGTAAGTGATGAATCACTGAATTCTACTCCTGAAACCATTATGACACTGTATGTTAACTAACTTGGATTTAAATAAAGTTTATAAGAAATCAAATATTTCATTTCTAACAAGTAAACTTTAAAACTCATTTCTAGAGTAAACCCAGACCAGACCCAGCAGAGCACATCTGGTGAGAATGCGAATTGGGGGCTGCTGGGCGCACAGCTGCCGTGGGGACGCTTGACCCAAGCAAGCCCGTGAGGTGGTCTGAGTGAAGGTGGCCGCGCCCCAACCTGAGCTCCTATTACTTCCAACACCGCTTTTAGGTGGAGGTCTTGTATAAACGGGCGATTCTGGTAACTCTGTCACCTCGATCTTTTTTTTTTTTTTTTAAAGAAAAGAACCAGAATTACTCTAACGAAACGTTTCCAAGTTCGAACTTTATTCTCTTAACTAAATGGCCATGGGGTGGGGCCACAGGAGAAACGGCTGCTCCGCACTGAACGCCTGATGTGTCATTCATCTTATTCCCCATTATTACCCCTGGCAAGACATACTGGCCACCAGGCTCTGAACAAAACAAAAACGAGATGCCGTGTTTGTTCTCCCGTCCTGTTACTCTAACCATTCAGAGTTCTAGGACTTCCTATTTAGTAAACTCAAAAAGCAGAACAGAAACAACAAATGACTCAAAGCAGAAAGATCTGAGAAACGAAATCGCTGTAAAAGAGCAATGCTTTCCAACCTGCTCACTGCCCTCCTGCCAACAGCATCACACACCACGGATCCTCTGCAAGACCGAGTGGGAAAAGCCCACTATCTGGGCCCAGACACTGGGCCCGCTCCTCTGTCAGCAGCCCCTTCCAAATGACGCTGAGGGCGAGACACTTCCGGGCTACAAATGAGGGGCTGTGCTTCAGGAACACAGGAATCCTCAATGTGGCAAGTTAAATAAAACCCCTATTTACGGTCAAATAACCTTTTTAAAGAATTTGGTCTAGCAGTTTAGAAATAGAACACATGCTCATCTCAGCGGGAATGGAAGACTTAGTTGATGTCACTGTCCCCCAACTCATTTTACGGAGGACTCTGCGTATCTGTGCGTGATGGAAGCCTGGATTCCAAAGTCTCCTGTCGATGTATTTTGTTGGCTTTGGGATTCCATCAGGACAGATCACGGGATTCTCCACACCGCACCCCTTCCGTAGAAGGCACAGCTACATGCGTATTTTCCGACAACGATCAGATCTGTGTGCCTGGCGGTCAGCTCAGGTGCAGGCTGGTTCGGGGCGCACTCCCTGCATTCTGCTGTGCCGCCCTGAGGATGCCAGGGCTCCTGCTTCAATCCGAGTAGATCCGCTTTCACCCTCAGGGCTTGGTGTAGCATTTAACTTAAAGTGACAGGCTCTTCTGCTTATGTAAAATTAACAAGCTTAAACACTCTGCCCTAGAACACCTGACAGAAAACCAGGTGACGGCACTGGGCAGGGCAGGCAATTTCTTCCTGAATCCTCAGACTTGACCCCTGACATCCCCAACTTTTTGCTCCTGCTTCTGTGCCTGGCACCACTTAGCACACAGTGACTGTTTGAAAGGACTGGTGACAAACTGTCACTTATAGACAGAAACAGGCTGCTTCCTATCAGAGCCAAGACTAGCTACATTCACCCAAGAAAGTGCTGTTACAGCTTACCTTATCGCTGTCCAGTGTGTTCTGAGATGTCCGTGAGGCAATTGAAATGGTGTCAGGCTGGCTGCTCCCATCGCCCTGGCTATCCAGATCCTCTCCGTCCCTGAAGAAGCAAACACACTTTTCATTCCTGACACTGCGGGGTTGGTCAAGACTGGTGCAGAGCGTCTATGAGTCGCTGGAGAGACAGATTTGCTCAGAGAGGCACGAATCCATCTGCGTGACTGCTGCCACCAGCATCGTGTGAGCGGTGACCGACCCCTCTCGGCTGCGCGCCGGGATGAGTGGCGGACGTGTGTCCCCTGCTTAATTCGCACAACGGTAAAACACAGGTGTGGTACTTCTGCCTCAGAAATGAGAAACGCAAACAGCGAAGTGACAGTACAGCTGGTCCTGGTCACAGGCACAACCTACATGTGTGTCCAGATTCACACTTGCGGTGGGAAAGGGGAACAGACAGGGATTTGTACCCAGCCCTTCATTTTCTTTAGGCCGAAGGGAGGTTCTCATCGTGACAAAGCAATTTCATTACTAAGGATGATGTTATACATACAGTGTGTTTACCAATCTGTGAAAAACAGTAAGTTAACACTGCCTTGTTCTCTTCCTATTAAACAAACTTACCGAAAGGCCCCCAGCACTTACCTCCTTCCCTTCTGTCTCGTGGCCGGTGCCGTCTTGGGGATGTGAATGGGCTCCTTCAGGGCCCCTTTCAGGTGAATTGTCCTTTCCTGTATCACTTCGCGGATGTGCTTTATCCAGTCCTGCTTGTTTTCTATGCTGGAAGCCTTAACGAGGTGTGAGAGTCCATCAGGACACAGAAGGCGTCCCCCTTCCAGAACCTGCTCTAACCACACTCAGGTCTCCCACATTCCCTGAGTTTCCCCATCTCAAAAATAACTTTTCAGCAGAAAAGCAACTGTATCCCATGTTTCATTTGCCATTTTGAGTATTTTTTCATCAAAACCATTTTCATTTTATAGCACATACGTTACTCCAGAATTATTTTCATAATCAGCAATTCCCCAGTCCCCAAACCTTTTAAGGGGCACCTGGGTGGCACAGTCGGTTAAGTGTCTGACTTTGGCTCAGGTCATGATCTCACAGTTCGTGGGTTCAAGCCCCGTGTCGGGCTCTGTGCTGACAGCTCAGAGCCTAGAGTCTGCTTCAGATTCTGTGGCTTCCTCTCTCTCTGCCCCTCCCCAGCTCGCACTCTGTCTCTGTCTCTCAAAACTGAATAAATGTTAAAACAACAACAACAACAACAACAACAACAACCTTTTAAGCAGCTGAGGGTAAACATGAAAACGCAGCCAGTCCCAAACCAAAGTGTCTTGGAAGCTATTCAGACAAAGGCTAGCGGTCGGTGGTTCGTGGCCCTCACTAATGCCCGCCCATCTTGCTGCCTCATTCACTGTACTCATGTGACAGCAGCTGCAGAGGCCACCGTGTCCCCACCTGCACCCGCGTTCACTCCCACTGCTCTGCGGGGTCACCGCCCCCCCCAATCCTCGTGTTGTAAGGGGGGGGACCATGGCATGGACGCATCAGAAATGTGCCCCATGGGACACTGCGAGTAGCTGAAGCAGCCGGGACTCTCAGGCTGGCACGGGGTGGATGCCATCCATGCGATGACACAGCCCATCCTCCCGACTTCCGCCTTCACCTGCTTCCGGTTGGACCAGTTTCCTTACTGCCAATTACAGACGGTGGATTTACCCCGGTTCCAATACAACTTCTGAAAACGTGCTCCAAACAGGACACACAGTGGATACTCAGTATGTGTGGAATGAACACATATGGCATCGCTTTGCCCACACTTTTTTCTTTTACTTTGCCTCAAAGGAAGTTTCTTTTTCTTTTTTTCCTTTTTGCACGTTCTGGGCCTTAGTAACAGTTTTTCATTTCCTTGTAAGAAACATCAACTTCCTATGACATAAGCATAAGTCCTTGTAAATGACCGAAACAGTTGTCAGAGGGGTCGCAGCTGAGCCCCTGGCGGAGAGGGGCCAAGTGTTTTCTCATGGTGCACCTTGTCTTCAAAAACAGCAAGTCAGAGCCCATGTTGGGAAAGGAAATTAAAATTGAGACTCTTTTTTCTAAATAAAATGTTTTCACTGGAGGATGTGTCTTTAAAGTTGCTGAGGGCTAGGAACAGGGGACTAAATGCAGGGAGGCGGCGGGGGGGGGGGGGGGGGGGCAAAAAGGAGCCTCTTGCTCCCATTCCCAGACCTGAGACTGGAAGGCAGTAACCCAAGTGCTTCTGGGGCCAGAGGCAGGGCGATCAGGGACTACGGGAGCCTGTGCAGGAAACCAAAGTGTCTCAGGGTGGACAACTCTGAAAACTACAGATCTACTGGCATTTAAATGCCTGATGCGAACATTCAGGTTAAGCAAAGAGAAGCATCTGAGAAAGAACATTTGGCAGAGTTTACAGACAACTGAGGGAAACTATTACTACGGTTCAGAAATAAATGGAATTCTCATGATTTCACAGTGAGGTGATCATTACATTTATGGAGAGGAATTCTCCTGACCTTAAAGAAATTAAACAAGGAAAAAAGGTGCCAGGTTTTGAGAAATTGTAACAGAAAGGCAAGCCAGCTAAAGTACTAAGTAAAAGATCCCACTGGTCTGAGAGATGGGAACAGTCTGATGCAGACTCTTGGTAGTTTTCATCTGTTTCAGGAAGGATTTAGAAATAAGACTCTCCTTTCCAGGGTACAGCGTAAAAAAGACCAACGTTTTGTGTTACAACTACCAGCACCCCTGCCACCACCATCATCACCTCCTCCAGCACAGCCGTCTTCTCCACCACCACCTCTGCTTCCCCCTCCACCTCCATCACCACCACCACCACCACCACCACCATCTCCATCACAACCGCCTCCATGTCAACCACCTCCTCCACTTCCACCAACGCCTCCTCCACCACCGCTCCCACCATCATCTCCATCTTTGCTGGCATCCCCACCAGCACCGTCATCTCCATCACCACCACCTCCATCACCGCCGTCTCCTCCTCCGCCACCACCTCCACCATCATCCCCATCTTTGCTGGCATCTCCACCTCCACCGTGATCTCTGCCATCACCTCCATCACCACCGCCTCCATTTCCACCACCACTTCTATCACTTCCAATATGATCTCTGTCTCCATCACCACCTCCGTCTCCACCTCCACCACTTCTATCACCACCTTCACCTCCATCTCCACCTCCTCCCCGCCCCCCCCCCAAAGCCTCCCCTCCTCTGCCTCCACCACTTCCAGCTCCACCACCACCACCACCTCCATCTCCTCCATCACCGCCTCGGTTTCCATCTCCATCACCACAGAGCAATCTCTAAAATGAATGAGGACATCATTTTCTTTAGCCTTTCCTTGGAAAGCAGAAAAATATTACCCAAAATTCCCTAAAAGACTCTCATCTGATAAAGCCTAAAGGAAATCTTATTCTTGAATTGCATCATGAGTGTTTTATTATGTCCTACGTGAAAGTAGTCCCTGTCTGGCTCAAACATCTGGCACTATCTCTTAGATACACCCTTTGATATCTATCACTATAGCTAATCTGGAGAGATGCTTCCTATGAGTTGGAAGTTTTGTGGTTTTGAGTATACTTTAAAATTTTATGCCTTAGGAAAGTTATCTAATATTTAGCTATCAGTGCAATTTATACTTTATAGGGCTTTACGCCAATACTAACAAGAACACACTGGGCTGGTAATCATATATTCATTGCAAAACAATCCATCATTTCCATGGGAACAAAGGCCTTAGAAACACAATACTTTCACCAAAGTACAAATTCTGTAAGAGCGAGGTATCGATGAGTAACTCATAGTTGCTGGAAATACTGTTGAGAGATTAAAAGGAATGTACGAGACAGGATCACTGGCATGCCAATTCACACACCAGAGTCCTATTAAGCTTTTGGCTCATCTCCCAATATTCTACAAATCTTCAGCAACATCTTTCACAAAACATTCCGAAATCGCCATGGTTTTTCCAGATAGACCGTTCCATCTGTATTTTCTCAAACACAGAAAGAGGGAAGTACACAAGATACCCTTAGAGCCCTGTGCCTTTCCTAGGAGAGGCTAGTATGATTAAAGCAGAGTTCAAATAAAATATCCAAAATATCCAAACATATTTTATTTTCCTCCCCCCCAAATACACACACACACACACACACACACACACCCAAAAAGCACCCTTAATGTTTTTGAATGCTTTAAATCCTAACATTATTGACCCTTGTAACTGATCCCCCTTTTTCTCTTCTCCCTATTTAGGAAGCAAAGAGCCTGAGACCCCATGAAGACTCTTGGCATGTTCAGCCTTGAAACTGCCCAAGGCCTTCACAAGTTCATCAGGTGCCTGTTTCCCTTTGGAAAGTAAGTGAAGTGTGCAATGGGACCTGCTGACCCGCATCTCCTTCCTCTTGTATCTCAACGTCCTGCATCTCTTGCAGAACTCACTCACCCTTCTGCAGACGGCAAGAGTGGGAGAAGCTTAAAAACGTCCTTCTCCATTTGACCCTTGGTAGGCAAGCGAAAGTTTAGCTCAAGGCGTTTCACCCCATGACACCAAACTGAACTTATTCTACTATTCTTTTTGTGGTAATCGCCGATCCCAACAGAACACAAAAAGAACAAATAAAATGATATGAAAACCAATGTTTCAACAACAGGAAGAAAAAGCACACACAGCCTCCATAAACTTGTCACACTGCACATTCCTGAGCCTCACAGACGTACCTTAAGGACGATTTTATTGTCTGAGGCTGGCGTCCTCCCCACCCACAGCGCAAACTTGCAAGGGTCTCCTTCCACGTGCTCTGTGACACCCAGCTCTGAGGTCTGGATACAAACGTAATTAAAAAGTCAGAGGACAGAAACAATTTCGGCAGGACACAGAACGAAGACCAAGAAAACGGTTTTGGGGGACTTGTGGTCACGTTAGGTTATAACACCACAGTCTGTTTCCATTGACAGGTAATCCTTGGATCTTCGTTAAAACAAGGAAATTTTGTTCTCAGGCCACACATGATTGGTTGCAGCCCTTTCACTTGCTCTGAGCACCCCTGCTGGGGATCCTGGTGTAGGTCAACCAGCACATACAGAGGATGGAAACCAAAATATCTAAAGATCGTGTTATCTGGAAAATCAGGAGCTGACCATTGGCAACCTGTAAACAACGAAATGAATCTGTCCTAGTTGCAGAGGAGCCTGCCATGCGTTTTCGGCATGAATGAAGTGGCTTCGCAGAAGGCAGAGATGTCTTCACGGTTATTTCCCAATTTGTTTGTCAAAAGCACTAACCTTTAGTGTTGCACCAACAAGTTTAAGGGCCAAGAGACAAAATGTCTCTCTGTGACACATGCCGCTGTGCTGTGAGCACATGGAAGAGCGTAGGTGAAGGTCAGCATCTTCAGTCCCTCCCCCACAATCAAGTTCACCCCTGGTGCATTCTCCTCCCTCCAGCAAAGGAAGTGATTCATAACTGTGGCCTCGGAGGGAACCTTAACTTTTAAAAGATAAATTAAATGAAGATGTATCAGCTTCTAAAACAGACTAGCTTGGTCTCTGAGGACAGATTAAAGTCAGCATAGTGAAATTACTAGCCAGCAATGTTGCTGGTCTTCCTTCCAGTTAGAATATGATCTAAAATGATGTAAGGTGGGCTGTGAGCCAGAAGACAATCTCAAACAGGACATAAGCCAAGGAAAATGGTATGAAAATCATTAGTTTGAACTTGCAAATCCCAGATTATTATTAAGACGATTTCTACATTGGTAGTTTTTTATTACTTTGGGAACTTGATTAATCTATGGATGCCATAAAAATGTGTAATGTGGACATTGTTCAAGTATCTGCCGATATTTGTAAGTGATCCACCATATCTTGTGTAAAGAAGACACCAAACTCTACTGCATCTTCTATTCTTTCTCTGGTGGTGATTTTCAATTAGCTCTGCTCCATCCTTTGTCCCATCCTCCGCCAACCTGGCCCTGCCCAGCAGTTCTGTGTCAACAGCCCCTGAGATAGTCCCACTGAGGGAACATGGAAATACGGCAGATCCAGGGGGTGATACGGCCTGAGACCATCCTTAGAGTCAACGTGTGGTTTACAGAGAGACTCCTTGGGCTTTGCTCCTTGTGGAAAAGAGGCATCAGGTATGTTCTTTTGCCAGAAAGCACACTCACAAGTTAAAAAAGAATTCAAATGTAACACAGTATCGACCCAGCACTCCAGGAAAGCTGTCTCTCGGGATTGTGGATCTTTAAAACTATTTTTGCTTATATACATTTTCTTTAATAACCCTACTTTGCTATTGCAAAGAGCCATAAATTTACTTAATTTTCACACACTTATTATCTTTATGGGGGGAAAAAATCCCACCTCATCACGAAGAGCCTACAGCGAGCCCACCAGGAAGACTGCTTAAGTATATGCCAATGTTGGTGAATGAAAAATTAATTAGAATGGTATGAGAACTTACTTAATCGAAGTCTCATATGATTAATTTATTTATGAAGCTAGTTACGGCACACAAGACATAAACTGAAATTCACTAAAAAGGTGTTTTCTTGGCCTATGTTAAGAGTCTATGGCATTTAGAAAAAAAAAAAACAGGTTTTCTAAGTTCAGCGAAGCTAAAACCATGCGCTCCCTCTAGTGGACTTGAGACTGCAGGAAAATTTCCCTGAGGAAGATGAAAACCTTACAATTTCAGAGTTCCACCTCGGAGCAGAGTTTGGAAGGTTAAACTGAAAGCAACAAGCAGTAATTTTTTTCTAGCTGCAAAAAGGTCACGAGTGTGTTACCTTAAAATTTACAATTCTGAACGTCCGTACTTACAAACAATTTGCTTTTATAAAGGTACTTGCTTCTCCCACTGGAATCTTTCACTTCTTTACTAAATACTAAAGACATTTCAAAAAGGAAGAGATGCCGTTCTCGACCCTTTCGAATTAAGGTTTTTGGGTCCCACACTTGGAAGGATTCCTGCAGGATGAGTTCTCCCTGAGACTCAATATTTTCGTCAAACCCTGCAACGTAAAAGAAAGGGGAGCACACTCAATTTGAAAGAAAAATAAAAAAGGATGCACAAGACAGCAATGTGACTATTTAAACATTTGTTCAGTGCCCATCAACTAAATCTCAGATTGGTTTCCCGTCTGGGCCCCCGACTCCGGTTTCCCAGCACTGACCCCACCTGACAAAGTCTGACAAAGGAGAATTCTTCCTAAAACATGACTTTGCGTATATTTGCTCTTGTTCAAAAAAATAAGGCAATTATTCTTCATGACTTTATTCTTTCAATTCGATCTTAGGGTGGCACTCACACCATTTGAGATTTGGTTGAACTCCCTACTTCTCTTCAGCCTTTACTCATGGCATTCCATCATATGAACCTCCTCCCCTGTCCAAAATGGTCCCGGACCTTCCCCAGGCCGTCACCCACCCCCAGCCTGCGTCCTGATCCTCTGCATCCTCAGCCTAGAACACCCTTCGTGGACGTTCTGCCACAGGCCGAGCCTTTCCCCAAGCTCTGGTCTGGCCTTCCTTGGGGAGTTCTCCCCCTCTTTGAGGGCAGAATTCTTCATGTGTGTCACACTCTGGCCACAGGGGTGGGTTTCCCCTTGCTCCTCCCTTCGTCGAAGGGGCCTGCTGTGTGGACTTTCAACTCCCAGGGCTTGGCAAAGTGGTTTGATACCTGCGGCAGGGGCTGCTAGCCCTCTCCCAACTACTGGCCTCCCCTTCTCCTCCACAGACAGAAGCCCCGTGGCCACTCAGATAAGCACGGTATCTCCCAGCCCCTCCCAGTTGTCGCTAGGACAACTCAGGCCACTGGGAGGCCGCTGGGAGTCCTGTGTACAACTTCTAGTTTCAGCCCTTCTAGCTGCTCCTTGCCCTCCCTCTTTCCTCACTTTCTCTCTGCTGGACGGAATGGTAACGTGGTCTTGACACATCCTGAACCAAGCCAACCGAACAGCATTTAAGCAGGGGAGAGAGTGAACGGAGCCTGAGTCCTCGATGGTGCCGTGAAGGGCTGCCACACCAGCTCAGGGGTTCACGTCAGAGAAAGAAAAAGTCTCCTGGCCTCTGATTTTTGGGGCTCTGCTGCAAACAGCTGCACCCGTGCCCCAACTAATTCCCTTGCTCGATACTAGCGATGATGGAGACAATAAAAAAGCATCTGGGGCAAGATTACTTCTCGTAAATAATTCTGCGTACGCTGATAGTAAGATTTAAGCTCTGTAATGCAGAAAGAGCCTTTCTAAACACAAGCATCCATGGAAATCTCACTTGCAACGATAACTTTTAATTTTATTTATCTGACTCTTCACCACATCGTACACTATGTTACACGCCACCACATTCAAAGCTCTCGTAAGTGATACAATGGATACAGATATGGGGAAACAACAAGCTTTTTGAAGGGTTTTTTATCATCACAGGGGACTGATCTTGCCTCCCTCCTACCCATCCATCCACGCGGACACCAGATTGCCTAAGGCAAGTGACACAAGGTGCTACTGGGGTTCCAAGTGCAGACAGGCTGTTCTCTAGTTAACGGTCAAGGACATGCTTTTAATGAGGTCGAAGTACTTTCCGTAATCCTTAAGGGAAGCAATGAAACCAGTTCTTCTCAAAAAGAAGGTACTCACGTCTAAACTCTTAACTCCCACCCAAGCATAGAGGCGCAAAGCCAAGACTTCCAGGGCGTGGGAAATCCACTTAGACCAGTGTCAGGAGGAAGTGCACGGACGCGCTGGGGACATGCAGAGCCCATTACCTTCCAGCATGCTGAGGTGCATGGCATCGTTGGCCCGCTTTGGCACACTAAGCATCACCTCGAGGCCGTCTTTTATCTCCCCTTTTCCTTCCTCACAGCAAGTGAGTAGCTCCTGTAAAAGACCAATACCGTCAACTAGCCAAACGCCGAAAGCTCTGCCAACAAGATCTTTGCAGCAAAGAGCATGAAAAATCCACGATTTTCAAGGTAACAGCGGAATGTGGTCAACTGGGCACATATTCGCATAGAAAATGAGTTACTGCCTCTTTACGCAACGAATGGAGGGGTCTGTCCTGCTCAAATCAGGATGCTTCTTCAGATCAGAGCAAACCAGATGCAGTCACCGTTTAAGATGAAACCGGTGTACAGATCAACTACCAAGCCTCAAAAATGACAAACAGAAACACGCAATTAGTACAGTAAAGCATCATCAGCTACTGGTTTTATCTGAAGGTCACGGCCGAGTCCAGCCAGGACTGCTATGCCTCCCGAGGCAGCCCAGTGTGATCTGAACTCCTTGGTGCTGTTAGTGCCACGCCCCATCTACCCTGGAGCTCCCAGGCCGTGAGTGAGAACACGAGCGGCAGCCGTGTCTACGTTAAATGCTGTCCCTCTGTGTGTAGGACGTTTGGAAAAGCGTGAATGATCTAATCACACTTGCCCGAGTGTGATTATGTTTCAGATCTACTTAGAGGAACATCTGCTGTTAAATGAATGCGAACAAGGACAATAAATCCACATTCTGGCAGGGTCCAAGACTCTTTCTTAACACAGTATGGTTATAATCAGTCAGTAATAGTAATCACAGCTTTCCGTGTCCTAGTGGCTGACCAAAGGCACAGGGCACCGCACTCAGCTTTGGTCCCACAGTGGACAGTTTTAGAGCAACTTGCACCAGACAAGCATGTTTACTCATGACCAGATGTTTTTTGCCTATTATTCTAAGCAGATTGGAAAAAAAAAAAAAAAAAAGTGCTTAAAAATGCTATATGGAGAAATTAACTTCACTGTCAAAAAACATTCGTTGGGGACCTCAACAGAGCTTATAATTATTCTCCTTAAAACCCCCGGGAAGAATAACGTGAGGCTTATAAATTAAAGCCTTATTTTAATAGTGATTAACTAGATGTGAGGTCACGGAGGAAGAGGTCTTTAGTGGAACCACATGCTAAAAACAAGATTCTTAAATGCTGAGGACACCAAAAGGTAAACCGCCTTTGCACAAATAAAAAGCAGTGAGCTGATGTGAATGTGAACGACTTAACCTCCTGACTTCTAGTTCACGTTTGTGGCAACCTCCTACTTCTGCTGAGGGTCATACAAGCACTTCATAGGATTCTGGTACAGAAATGCAGGAGTGCTTTCCCAATAGAAATACCCCATATGATACCATTTTCACAAAAGAATACAGCCATTTCTGTGTCTAGAGTTTTCTCATCAGCAAAGAGTTTCAGGATCTCATTACTCCATCTCTGAACTTCTTTTGTATCCAGGAAATTTACATACCACCTCCCTACTGCTGTGTGAGGCCAGCACCGGGGACATAGATGCTAATATACTGTTAGCAAGAGGAGTGGACAGTCGGTACGTTCTGATGCTTAATAACATTCTCCAGCCAAGGATACAGCAGGATAAACATCATCAGGTAGAGGTTGTAAATTATTATTCTTATAGTGAAGAAAATGTGCACTGATTTTTATATAATGCGTTCTGTGACAACCATCACAAATTCTAAGTTTCCTTTACTGTTCTACAATTAAGACTAGACATTAAATTATAAATGTGGCTTTTTTTTTTTGAGGTATAATTGACATGCAACATTATGCTAGTTTTAAGAGCACAACATAAGGATCTGATATTTGTATACACTGCTTAATGATCACAGGAAGTCTAGTTAATATCCGCCACCATACATAGTTACAGGATGACTTTAATTATCATCATTTATATTCAAGAAAAAGTAGAGGTCAGTTTGACTCAAATCTCGGGATCTGTGTGAACAACATGTTCTAGAAATATGTGTGTGCCATGTGACTAGACGTAAGAGGGAGAAAGCTGCCTGAGGGTGAAATTACCTGGGCTTCAGCCCCATTTGGGTCTCGAGCTGAGCCCAGACAACAGGGATCCAGTGATGATTCCGGGCACAGCCCTCACCCTCACAGGCTCGTTTCTACACCTGCAGACCAGCAGTGTTATGAGGTAAACCTAAAGTCTGCAAAGTACACAGCAAAGAGCGTGGTCCACAGCCAGCAAGCCACACGGGGACACAGATACCACGTTATCCAGGTTTGACAATCTTGCCTTCCTTCCTCAGTTTATGTTACGGACCAGACTCAGCAAAGCTCCAGTGCATAACAAGGAATATTCTCTCATTTACCTGTCACACTGAGAAACTGATCAGGGTAATAAATAGCAATGAATTAAAAAAATTAAGTGCCTTGGTGTTATTTAAAAAATTCAGGCTACTTTACATAAACAGAAAAACGCCAGATCAGTAATGTGCAATTCACAAAATTTTACATGCAGAAGATGCTTCATACATACTTTTAAAAGAAGCTGATACTTTGTTATTCGCTGAACCGGCTTAATAAGGTAAGAAGAGATGGAATTGGCTAATCCATGCCGCTGTTGTATTTCCTAAATTAAGAAGAAAATAGAGAGAGACGAACGTTACTGTAATGTTAATTATAGCATTTGAATTAGCATGAACTAAAAATGCACTTTTTACCTCCAAAATGAATATACACATATCACTGTTGTTGTATAAAGAAAAACAGAAATCACTGTTCTTTTAATACGCTGAACATGAGAACGGGTGATCACTTTGAACCAGAAGGTGGCGCATCCAATCTACATTGCTGGCTCTCCCGTGCAGATCTCAACTAGGCCAAGCCTACAACCTCTGCTCTGGGCCCGCGCTGGCCTCCAACTCCCCCGGGCCAGCCCAGGGCCACTCAGTCCAGACAGGAGGAGCTAGGGATGGGGATGGGGACAGGGTGCACCCTCTCCCACCGCAGCTCCTAAGCGTTTGCATTGGCGTTGCCTTGGCCAAGACCACGTCCCCGCCCCTGGCCTGACTCCCCTTCACTAACGAGTTCGTACACCATGGAGGATTCCCTCTACGCGCTCTCAGACTTTCCACGCCCACCAGCGGTGCTTGCATCATCTTTTGGCTCTTAACACTCTTCTCAGAAAATCTTCAAAAAAACCCCAGCACCACCAAAAAAAGGTTATCTCCTCACATTCTATGCTTCCAATGAGATTCAAACACCACTACACTCTTGTGTTCTCAATCTGCTTGTCACTTTGATTAAGCTCATGGGGACCCGTGCGTGCGTTGTGCCAGGATTCCTGTGAGCCGCTGCCGATGGAGTGCCGGGACAGCCACCAAGCGACTTGTCCCTCACATGCCACCCAGGTTCAAAACTTAGCAATTCTTCCTCTGCCTTCCTGATCACGAATGTAGTTTAAAACTTTCTCTTCAATTTGCAATTGTTCAAAAATGTGCAATTTATCATTTAATGATTATGATACACACATTCATAATTTCACATCTAAAACATTTTTCATATAGAATATAATGATCTCAAGTACAGGTCACTGAGTTCTGGCAAATGTCAACACACTTGCAAACAATTCCCAAACCAAGGTGCAGAACATTTCCAACATCACAGGAAGTTCTTCAGGTCCCTTTCTAACAAATTCCCCCACCCACACCCCACCACCACCAAGAGGCAACCCCTATTCTGATTACTATTGCCAGATTAGTTTTGCATATTCTAGAATTTCACACAAAAGGAACCACACAGAATGTACTCCTTCATATCTAGCTTCTCTCAGCCCATGTTTTGGAGATTAATCTATGCTACTTACGTATCAAGAATTTATCCTTTTATACAGTTGAGAAGTATCCCATTTCATGCATACCCAACATTTGAGAGATACTATAATGTCTTTTTAGTACCTTGTTTTAATAACGTTCAGAAATACATCTCTGATATTTCTGAACACCAATCTATTTTTGTTGACACCCTTAATACCTTATCATAGGATTATACTATTAAAAAATGACAAGAGAGGAATGAATACCCAATGGGTAAAAGATAGTCTATTCAATAAATGGTGCTGGCAAAACTGGACAGCAACATGCAAAAGAAAGAAATTGGACCACTTTCTAACATCACACACAAAAATAAATTCAAAATGGATTAAAGACCTAAATGTGAGACCTGAAACCATAAAAATCCTATAAGAGGGCACAAGCAATAATTTCTCAACATTGGCTATAGTAACTTCTTTCTAGATATGTCTCCTGAGACAAGGGAAATAAAAGCTAAAATAAGCCATTGGGACTACATCAAAATAAAAAGCTTCTGCACAGCAAAGGAAACAACCAACAAAACTAAAAGGCAACCTACTTAATGGGAGAAGATATTTACAAATGACATATCCGATAAAGGGTTAATATGCAAAATATACAAACACTGATATAATTCAACACCCAAAAACCAAATAATTCAATTAAAAAATGGGCAGAAGCTATGAATAAATATTACAAAGAAGACATACAGATGGCCAACAGACACTCGAAAGATGTTCAACATTGCTCATCATCAGGGAAATACAAATCAAAACCATAGTTATGACCTCACACCTGTCAGAATGACTAAAATAAAAAATACAAGACGCAACAGGTGTTAGAGAGGATGTGGAGGAAAAGAACTCTCCTGTGCTGCTTATGGGAATGCAAACTGGTACAGCCACTGTGGAAAGCAGAATGGAGGTTCTTCCAAAAGTTAAAAATAGATCTACTCTATGATCTAGGAATCACACTACTGGGTATTTACCAAAAAAATACCAAGACACTGATTCAAAGGGATACATGCACCCCTATGTTTACAGCAGCATAATCTACAAATTATGGAAGCAGCCAAGATGTGGTATGTAGGTGTGTGTGTACACACACACACACACACACACACACACACACACACACACGCAGGAATATTACTTAGCCATAAAAAAGAATGAAATCTTGTCATCTGCAATAACACGGATGGAGCTGGAGAGTATAATGCTAAGTGAAAAAGACAAATATCATATGATTTTCACTCATATGTGGAATTTAAGAAGCAAAACAAATGAACAAAGGAAAAGAGAGAGAGAAACCAAGAAACAGACTCTTAACTACAGAGAACAAATGATGGTTACCAGAATAGAGGGAGGTGGGGGGATGGGAGAGACGGGGAATGGGGATTAAAGAGTACACTATCATGATAAAAAAATTAAATTATTAAAAAGAATAAAGACATAAAGTTACAGAGAGAGAGGGAGGCAAACTATAAGAGACTCTTAAGGACCGAGAAGAAACTGAGGGTGGACGGGGGGTAGGGGAGAGGGGAAAGTGGGTGATGTCATGGAGGAGGGCACTTGCTGGCATGAGCACTGGGTGTTGTATGGAAACTAATCTGACAATATATTTAAAAAAATAATAAAAAAATAAAGACAAAAATGGCTACATGATCCAACTATTCTTCCAAAATACCTGACAAAGGTTTCATCCTGCTAAAACAACAGAGCTTCCTTTTTCTAAAAAGCTGTTAAGGGTATTAACAAAAACTTCTGTGCTTCTAAAATTTTACTTTGAATGGTGGGGGGCAAAGAAAGGGAGGATCTAGCTCACTGGTCAGTGGCATATCTAACACCATAATTTCTGCTTTGCCTTTGTATTAAGCTGTTTACATGCAATAACGTCCTTGCTGGGAAGGTGGGCACTTTGGGTTATCCACCACTCCATGCTAAGCACCTATGACCAGGCACATTGAGCTAAATGAGCCCTAAAAAGATGTGGGATCATGCTGGACAATGAATACTGAAGGCAAGTAATTTGTGAAATCCCCAAATCAGACAAGCATAATTTCTTTAAAGATGTTTTAAGGACAAAGGTTTTGGTTTTTGTTGTTGTTGTTGTTGTTGTTGTTTTTTAATGGCTTTGATTCCAAAGCCATTTGATTTGATTAAATGTGCCACATGCTCTCAGTGCTTAGGCCTTAAATGATTCTAACTCTGCACAGAGCCATGGTGTTGAGTTTCACCTGATGGCAAAGACCCAGGGTCATGTGAAAAACAGAAAAAAAAAGGCGGGGGGGGGGGGGGCGGACAGCACTGGGCTGGGAGCTGACTTTATATTTACAAAGGCAATGATGTATAATTGCTAGTCAGGAGAATGACAACTAAAACAAGGCCATCTACAGGGTTTCACCTCAAAGATGCAAGCTAAAATTTATTCTCATTTCCCAGACTTCCAGAGAAGGGCAGAGTATCACACATGGCAATGCCCCAGCGTAAAGACAGAAACAAATCTAATGTTCTCACAGCCTTGTGAGAAATTATACATAACATCAAAAAGTACTCCCATCTCTTAATCAAGATGTATTTGGCACACATTTAACTACATTCTGGAGACCCAAAAAGCATTCTGTAAATTATATCAATAAGGCTCTATCCTCTTTCGTACTAAATAACCTCCCTGCAATATCTCTCCAAAAAAGATGACCTACATCTACAATAATGGGAATATAATTAATAAGCCTCCCAATGGTCCTAGGGACAGTGTTATCTGTAAAAATTTTATGGGCAGGCTACTTTTGGAATCACATAAAAATGAGAAAAATAAATGACTAAAAAGGATTCAAAGATTCAAAGATAATTTTTGTTTCACAGAGAGTAAAAGAAGCCGAAAAGTTTGTACCTTCTGTATAACATGATATTACACCTAAAATTACTATAAATTGTAAGTAATGTCATATACACATGTACATGCTAAAATCTTGGATCTTTTTTTTTTTTTAATTTTTAATGTTTATTTTATTTTTGAGAGAGAGACAGAGCATGAGTGGGGGAGGGGCAGAGAGAGAGGGAGACACAGAATCCGAAGTAGGCTCCAGACTCTGAACTGTCAGCACAGAGCCCGATGCGGGGCTAGAACCCACGAATGGTGAGATCATGACCTGAGCTGAAGTCGGATGCTTAACTGACTGAACCACCCAGGATCTCCTAGAAGAATCTTTCAATAACAGAAGAATATATAACAATATCCCACCATAAATATGACAGATAAACAGGAAAATACCGTATCATCAAATAGATGAAAGTTAGGAGTGATGCTGCATCTTATGTATACCAAATACAACTTAGAAGATTTCACAGCTTCATCAGGAATCTATTACTTACATCAAAGTAGGACCCTGCATGCTCTAGTATCAGCTGAGTAGAATCCGGCTTATTTTTGCAATACGTGACATACATCTGAAACTTGTCTGCCTATAAACAACAACAACAACAAATTAGAATATCTCTTTCAAATGGCAGTACCTCAAAATATGATAAACTTTTATGCAGAAAAGAAGCTGTGGGGATAAAGGAAATTTAAGCTCTAAATAAAAGAAACCCTATTTTATATGGAAAGCTGTTAAAAATGAGAAACACATCCTATTGGTATACACACCTCCAGAAGCTTCCCTTGGCCCAGTAAGTCAGAGCTGGGCACACCCACTCTGTTCCAGTTGCCAGTGCAAACCCAGGCATCACATGTGGATGGCAGGGCACTACCACCAGGTGACTGTCTGGCTCTCCTCCCGACTGCACAACATCCCCCCTCCCACCTTGCCAACCTGGCCCCCCAGACATGGCTGCGCATTCATGTTGATCTACGCATTTCCAGGACCACATGCAGGACTGGCACACTAAATGTTCCATTTCAAACCATCACTATTGCCAATAAAAAGCTCCGTCCACGTTAATAACTAGTTGCAGAATGTAAGTCTTTGAGGCAAAGTCCATTTCTCCATAAGCAGACACTGTAGAAGATGATGACATAAGAGAAATGGACCACATTCCTTTCGAACTTCCTGCAAAGCCACCAAACAACCGTGAGAACAAGTAGCCGAGGTTTCATTACCCAAGTAACAAAGCAGTGTCCAACGTCTTCTGGCAACTGCTCATATTTTTCCAGCTCTTTCAGAAATATGCTGCAGAGAGTAAAAATGGTACTATATTATTAAGATGTCTTAAAACATTTAGTAGTGAGATAGATACGCCAGAAATCAGGCCAAGCATATCACTTCAATCAAATACAGTGAAACATCTGTGCCGTCTAGATTTTAAGGATTTAATAACCCATGTAGCTCTTAACTCGACTAAGTTATTGTGACTTTCAAACAGCTACTCAGTTTAGCCTTTAAACACTTTCTAATACAAACTTTAACCTAGCAGCTTTACTTTTGGGCAAGTGCTATGTTCACTAGCTGAGGATATAATTTAGGGATGTAAATGAACACTCAGAAGAACCCACTTAGATTTCAGTGTCTTGTGCTGGGCTGGGGGCAGGGGAGTGAGGGAGACCCCAGCATCTCTGGCTCTAGCAGTCTCTCTCCATAGGCTAGAGGGCTGTGCAGACGCTATCAAAAGGAGCTTCTGTTTCTTAAAAAACAAACAAACAAAAAAACCAAAAACCCAAAATAAAAACAACCTTAAAAATAAAGCCATGTGCCTCCTGTGGCCACTGGACAGTGTATTTTAGTTTGGTCAGACTACGCATCTGTTCTGTCCTCAGTGCCTTCTCCCCTCTTGTTCAGAAAGACCAAGGGGTGGCCAGCAGCCACACACAATTCTTCTTTCTTTTCATCCTAAGTAACAAATGTAGCAGCTGACGACATAGCTTGGGAGAAACAAGGGTTCCTCCAAAAACAGTTTTCCTAATCTCATTTCTATAGCAGGTAAGAACAAACATAAAGTCGAGTCTCTATCATGATAGGTTCAACAACGTCAGTCTTTTGGAAGAAAGCCTGATAGTCTTCATTCAAATTTCAACAAAATCACTGAAATGGATGCTTAACTCAGTTGGGAGCTTTCATTTCTTGTTAGGAAACTTCAGCACCATATCTAGATTTCAAGAGGAACCAGCTCCCCAGAGATAAAGCCACTCACTTATTGTGAAACTCATAGATTTCCTGCATGTTCCCGAAGATGACGAGCTCTCTGTTTACGATGCCGGCCGGGATCTCCTCCACCCCGCTGGTCATCTCCCACAGGTATGTCTGGCCGGGAGGGAAGCAGAGGGATTACACAAAAACCCCAGAGCACATGTCCAAGAAACGGCTGTTCCTGCCTCTAGAATACGTACCCAGAGCTCACGAATCACCGAAAATCGATCTGAAGTATGGAACCTTTCCCAAAACATGAAAAACTATTTTCCAGAAAAGCCCCCCCAGTTGCTGTGAGCCCTTCAGAGAAGTTCCTCGGGCTCCAGCTTGAGACTCTCCATTCCTGGTGTCAGACTTGGGAGCTAACCTCCCTGCTCTCTGAGGTACGACAACTATTCTTTAAACTACTGAGTATCAGTTGCGAATCATAATTAGAAGGCACATTTCTCTGAAGCTGCTGTAAAGTTCTGTACAAAGAGGATGGCAGCCAGGCCATCATGTGACGAGCGGAATGACGGGATTAGTGCTGTATCATCTCTGTGATGAGCAAAACATGGGCCTGGAAACTCACGGAAGGGTGGGAACAAGAAACAGGCTGCTTAAGCACACTGAAAATCTCGAGAACAACGGCAACAAGGGTGATTATTTTAAGAATTACCAACAGTCAGGGAGAAAACAGCGCGCTTAGACTGGATCTAAATAAACAAGCAAGAAAACTTACTTACATCCATACACTCCCGGAGGTCCCTCACGTAAGCCTTTTCAGTTTGAATTAGCTCCGCCATTATGAACCTTGAACACAGGAAGACCGGGAAGAGCTTAGTTCACAGTCAGGACACAGGCTTATCTGAACTATGTACTTTTATGGCTTATGAAATAATGAGAGTTTTCAAAGCAGTAGTCAGTAATGTGTTTGGGGAATTAAACCAAGAAGAGACAGAACAGTAACAGCACAAAGCCACCAATTCAAAGGGAAAACATTTTGTTGAGGTACACCAGCAGGTCACGTTTTCTCCATCAGCACCGCTGACACTTGGGGGCAGATAATGCTTTGCCGGGGGGCTGTCCTGTGAACTACAGGATGTTAGTGGGATCCCCGGTCTCCACCCCTGAGACGCCAATAGCATTGCCCCCTCCCATTTTGTGACAACCAGAAATGTCAACACACATGGCCAAGCATCCCCTGGGGGGTCACAACTGCCCCCAGCTGAGAACCGCTGGTTTAGGACAATCTTTGGAACGTCTGGTACAGTTTACTAATTGGCAATTTTGAAACATCTCCACGTGTTATTTTTTCTCCTTGGTACTACTAGTCATGACCTACTGATGACAAATGACACTACAACAATTTGTCAACCCCATACGAAATGGAGGCACAGGAACAAAAAAAAGACACGGCTTCTGAAGCAAGTGATAAGGGTACAGTGCACACAGTGAGTCTGAACATCACAAGGTATCATTGCCATCCGGTTTCAAAGCACACACAGCAGTGGGTTTGTCCAAGCGACATTTTCTTCACTTTTTCAATGAATCCCAGCAGGTTCTTAAAGACTGGCTTACTCTTTCCTGCGGGCCGACTTCCGTTTTTCTTCGTTAAGCTCATGAGCAGCATCGCGAAGCTTCACCTCTGACCCAGGGACACTGGCGGGGATTATGTCCAGCTGAAGACTTTTACTCTGTGGAGGAAGAGAGCCAATGAACTTGAGTTAATTAGATCCGGGGAGGACATGAGGAAGAACACCATGGTTTATTCTGTTTGCACAGAGCAATTTACCGATTTGTTGGAATCTGAAGAAATCCCCAGGGCTTTCTCCAAAGAGGTCCTGTACTTCTCCATCCGCAGAGAGAAATCCCTGTACCTCTTATCCACTGCAGTGACGCATTTTTTTATCTCTGCTGCATGGGCATGCCCTTTTTCACAAAAGCCATCAGCCAGCTGTATCAACAGCTTCACTCTCTCTTTGGTTTGCTGCGGAAACAACAACAGGAAAGTATTGTCAGGCAAATGAACTCAACTGCCAGGCCGGAGACACAGTGGCAACTTGCCTACAACCCTGAGCTCCCGACAGGGAAAAACTGCTGGTCAGAGAAATGTCCCCTGAAGCTCCAAGTCCACCAATTCACCCCCTGATCCCGGCCTGGCCGCTTCCCCACAGAGAATGGCATGTTTACGACTGCAAAAACCAACCCGAATCTAGCCCTTCTCTCGGCTTGGCTTCATCTGGTGGACGCCCGAGAGACACCTGCGGAAGGGATACGTGTGTCTCCCGTGGCCCCGTGGTCCCCACTGCTGCTCCCTGCCCGTTCATCCCCTGCGCCCACGGGGATGGAAGGCCTGCTGAGATCCTGGCAAAGGAACCCCCACACTGCAGACACTTGGTGAAATCCTTGAAGTGACTCTGCACTGCACATTCGGTTCTTTTTCAATTCCCGGTAGAAATGAAGGAAAGATCGCTAGCCAGAAATGATCTTTAGAGAAGCATATTAAATGCTCTTCACTGTTTTAGAACTCCCTCTCAAAAATTATTTCATTTGTACGTGTACTTAGAAAAAATACTTCAATTAAGTTAAACACAACCGCCTTGGTTTTCATACAGTTCAGGAGAACCACAAAACATTGGTTTAATATCTATGGCAGTAACGTCCCTCAAAACTGAGTTTTCAACACCTGTTTTCATCACATCCATTGGTTACTATAGCAAGGCTTCTTTCGACAGTCGCACTGGCATTTCAGGCGAGTACTGTTCCTCTCCCGGAAGGGAACCTGATTTTCTCCACTAACCTTTATCTAGGAAATCTTTACGACCAACACTCAGGAAGGTGACTTTAAAAATCCCCAAAAGGTGCACCGGAGAGCAGGGGCCTCAAAGTAAAACTCCCCAAAAGGATAAAGGTCAGGGCTCAAAACCTGGATAAATTTTCCTAGTTTACACAGAAGTGTGAGGCAGCATGTCCTCGGTGACCTGCAAAGGCAGCTGTAGAATCCTCGGGCTGCGCATGCACACCCCGGGCAACCTGCATCCAGCCCCGAGCTCCAGGCACACGCCCGGTCTGTGTTTCCTTGCACCATGGCCCCTCCTGCCTGGAATGCTACTCTGTGGCTCCCTCGTGTCTTTGCTCAACCAAAGGCCACCATCTCAATAGGCCCTCCCTGAGTCCCTTAAAAGTACAAGTCACCTTCCTGCCCCAACTATCCTCACTGGGCCTGCTCCACTCTCTCCCGGGACACGGGTCACCTGCCACAAGGATATAGTTGACTTACTACTGTTACCGTCTGCCACTATCTTATTAGAATGTAACCACCACAGGCCTGGGATATTTGGGGTTTTTTGCTTACTAATATCTTATTCACCTTTCGTGTGCCTGGCACATAGGAGACAGTCACCAAATATTTACTGACAATTAAGTTAACGTTAGATTTTACGGGAAAATAGGTATATGCTTGTACCTTTAACGGGGTATGGCAGTTACTCTTAACAGGCATTAATACTTAAAAAAAAAAAAAGGAAAACAGAACTCAGATATAATAATCTCCTGTGGAAAAAAAAGGTTATTGCAAAATTCTATAAAAGCTGTTTATTAGAAAAAGTCAGCAAAACTTAAAACACCCTGAAGTTTTTAGGACTTTCATCTGGTGTGGAAATGAGCTCAAGTAGAGTGAGCTAATCAACCAAACCATATGATCTATCAACACAACACCTTTCTGGATATGCTAAGATGAATTATAAACCAAAGACCTAAAAAGTCAAAGTTTCACAAGTGGAACCATAAATTCCAAAAGGGACTTAACTTAGAACCATTATTAAATTTTAATATCAAAGAGAATATGAGAAAGGCAGGACTGTTTAAAAACTGGGTTGCCTGGAGGCACCTGGGTGCCTCAGTTGGTTAAGCCTCTGACTCTTGGTTTCGGCTCAGGCCATAATCTCACGGTTCCTGGGACCCCTCATCGGGTTCTGTGCTGACAGCATGAAGCCTGCCTGGGGTTCTCTCTCTGCCCCTTCCCGGCTCTCTTTCATCTCAGAATAAATAAGTAAATAAACTTAAAACAACAAAAAAAAATTGGGTTGCCTGGATGAGGTTACACTGCTGGGTGCCAAGATACTAATGTGCCGAGAAGCACAGAGAAGGTGCATTGTGCCACCATGAAAGCATTTCTTCTCTTCCACCGTCCAAGCGCCACCGGTGAAAGGGTACTGCAAGTTATGTGTAGTGTCTCTTCAAGGAGTCAAGAAAACGGTTTCATATTTTAAGCACTGGGGTCATAGGAGTGAAGATAAAACAAAACAAAACAAAAAAACAATGCAGCTTGCCTACATTCAAAGAGAAAACAAAACACTGAAAAACTATAGGAAGATGTCTGCATAACACACGTCACAAAATAGATGAGTTGAATGCATGTCACGCCAATAGGCGGATGCTGTTTAGGACACTAGATGCAGCAGGAAGGTGGGCTAGAGACAAAGCCTGGTGGCTTACAAACTTCATTTAAACAAAAGACACCAGGGGCGCCTGGGTGGCGCAGTCGGTTAAGCGTCCGGCTTCAGCCAGGTCACGATCTCGCGGTCCGTGAGTTCGAGCCCCGCGTCGGGCTCTGGGCTGATGGCTCGGAGCCTGGAGCCTGTTTCCGATTCTGTGTCTCCCTCTCTCTGCCCCTCCCCTGTTCATGCTCTGTCTCTCTCTGTCCCAAAAATAAATAAACGTTGAAAAAAAATTTTTTTAAAATAAATAAATAAATAAACAAAAGACACCAATCAGGCAGTCAAGGCTTCTTGAAGATGTGTGGCCAAGCCTCTCCCTCAAAGATGGCAACCCTCCCCCCACCATGTCTGTTTGTCTTACTACTTCACAGTAGATGTATATATATTCACCCCAACTGGAAACTGCAGTCCATGAGCCCAGCACCCAGAGCAGTTCTGGCACACTGCAACAGCGTGATGAATAATGATGGGGTGAATGGCGTGACAAAAACTAAGGATGATGAATCTGCTAACTCACGAGCTTTCAATACATTTTTATTTTAACTGTTTTTTTTTTTTTAATGTTTATTATTTTGAGAGAGAGAGAGAGACAGAATACGATCAGGAGAGGGGCAGAGAGAGGGGGAGACAGAATCCGAAGCAGGCTCCAGGCTCTGAGCTGTCAGCACAGAGCCCGACACAGGGCTCGAACCCACGAAGCGTAAGATCATGACCTGAGTCGAAGTCAGACACTTAACCCATTGAGCCACCAAGCACTCCTAACTGGTATTTTTAAAATGCATGCATAGAAATCAAAACTTCAAAGGTAAAAAGGATACAAAGTGAAAAGTCTCCTTACTCCACCTTCCTATGAGGTGTCTCAATGATCAGCTTCATGTGTTACCATTCTAGACACATTTTATTATACAGAGGGGTGTATGTATGTATGTATGTATTTCTCTCTTTGTACCTAAATGCTTGTACACACAAGCCCTGCTCTGCACCCAGCATTTTTCGTTTAACAACTCTCAGAGATCCTTCACTATCGGAACACGAGCAGTACGCTTGTTTTAGGTTTCGAGCTGCACAAGATTTCTATGAGCTAATGTGCTCCCACTGAATGGACTTTCACGTCGTTTCCGTTCTTTTCCTAAGCCAGGAAAAAACTGCACGTGTCTGAGCGTGTGTAGCTAGTCTGTGTTTCAAGATGTGGGACGGCTGGGGCAGAAGGGATGTCCATCTGTGACACTGAGCGGTTAACGTGGTGACACATCCCCCCCATCCCCAGAGGTCGACTCCATTCACCAGCCCCCTCCAAGGTGCAGCCCCCCCCCCCATCCCCAGAGATCGACTCCATTTACCAGCTCTCCCCACCGCCAAGGTGCAGCCATAACCTTTTTGGTATCTGCCAATACCTGGGTGAAAACAGAACACAGTATACTTCTGATTTATAGTTTTATTTTAGGTAAATTTGATAATTTCATATATTTAAAAGCCATTTAGAATTCCTTTCCTGGGAGCCCTCTTTAATATCTCTTGTCCATTTTCTTGTTTACTCTTATTGATTTGTAAAAACTCTTTACAACTGAGAAATCAGCCCTCTGTGATAGGAATTGCGTATTTATCCTCCCTATTTGCTTTCTTTCACTTATGTTGGCCTACACTTTAGAAATTCATACATTTTTGTGTATGTGATTTTATCATTTTTTAGAGCTTTGGGTTTCGTGTCCCGTTATTTTTTCTAGTCATTTCAGGTTTTCATTGTTGATACATTTACCTTGCTATCAAGGTGGGATACGAATCCAACTTAGTTTTTCTCTAGAACGCTGCTCAACGCTATGAAAAAAAAAGCCTTTCTGCGTCTTTTTAAATCAAGTATTACAAAAGTTTTCATCCTTACTGTTCTTTCTAGAGATTGTTACAAAAATAGATTTTATTTCAAAAGCATACAAATATTATTAATTTGAACAACCTCAGCAGTGGGCAATCAGGGGTTTGTAGAAAAATAAAGGCAAACTGCATTCCTGAGTCCACATGTCAAAGAATCTTTACTCACCATGTTCTTAGGTAAGGAAAAACCCAGGGAGGATGCACATTCAAGGGTCTTAGATACTTTCTAGCAAATGAAGGCTTTTGGCGCTGGGGACAGTGGTGACCGGGATGCAGGAAGTGTGTGGGAGGAGGAGGAAAGTTCTGCGTCTCGGGCCGCAGGCCTCCCACTCCACTGCGCTTGTGGAAAAGTCACCTGGGAGCTTGTTTACAGACGCTCATCTTCAGGCCTCACTCCTAAACAGTCTAAGTCAGTAAGTCTCGAATAAGGACAGAAACTGGCTTTTAAGTAAACACGCATGACTTGGATACAGGTGGTGCCTGTGAAGCACTCTGAGAAATCATTCCATCGGGAGCTGCGAAGGAATCAAGCTGAGGCTTCATGGTGAGACAGTGACAAAAAGGCTTTACTTCCATTGCACTAAATGTGTTACAACACTGACCACTGTAACAACTAAACTGGAGGATGGTCACATCAAGAGCAACAGATTCTCTCCATGACACGGGTAAAGAGGTTTCTTAGAAGACACTATGAGGAGGGGCAGAAGGCGAGCAACAGATATCCCCAGGCATGAGCAGGCGTGGTCTGATGAAGAGAAAGGAAGCCAGAAACCCATGGGAATGAGATGCTAAGCGAAAAAGCGAGAGGTTTTCTTTTCCAAATCCACTAGTTCGTCTGGGCAAAACGGATCCAGCAGACCCAGTGAGAGAGACGGCAAGGTCAGGTGTTACACCGGTGATTTTAGATGCTTATTTTTACAAAACACAAGAGCCAAAACATGCCCCTGTTGCTCACTGTTTAATAACCACACCCCACATCTGAGGAGGAGGGAAATTCAGGAATAAAAATTCCCTTTGAACACACCCTACTGGTGGAACATGGCTGCCATGCGACTGCACTGCAGACAGTGAGGTTCACATGAGCTTCTGTGCGCACGGCACCCCCTGGAGTCGTGCGGCGACCAGGCTGTTTGGCTGTGCAAATGGTCTGCAGAATGCAGCGTTAATGGAAATTCAGCTTAGTGAAGAGGAACAAATCTTAAATCTATCTCTGAGTGGCATCTTAGGCATTTTCTTAACACCTTTATAATCAAAGGCTATTCAAAAAAAACAAATTTGTAACGCGCACAACTGTAATTTATCCTCCCACTGTTAACAGGAACGAGAACTACACAGCCAAGGGTGTGCTGTATCTCGGAGAAGCAAAAGACATGATGCTTACCTGCAGAGGCAGGCAGGCCAGCTCTCCTCAAATGAGTGGGTGGGCGCCTTCCTCTGGGTGCCCACGGCCCCCACAGTGGGTGCAGCTGTCACCGCCAGACTGCCTGAGCCCTGCCCACCCCCAAATGCTCATGGTGTCCCCACCCAGTGCCAGGTCTCACCGAGCCCCGCAGTGGTCAGTCTGCCTGCAGCCACCCTGGACCGTGAGCTCCTCCAGAGCAGGGAACAAGGGTTCCCAGAGCCCAGCGGCCCGAGGGTGAAGGGAAGGAAATCAATTTACAGCTTGTGGGTGGGCGGGAGCAGAGGGCAGTGAAGAATACCAGGAGTCAGAAATGGTTACAGAAAACATAAAGAAGTACAACTAAACATAATACAAAATAGCTGTTGTCACTCTCAAGGATTTAAAAATTCCCATTGATGGTTTCCACCGCTACCTAAAGGGCCACACAAGAAAATCCCGTTTTACTTATACATGAATACTTCTTTTTAGCCAAACTACTATCCAGCTAGATCCTTTCTTTCTAGTGTAAAATTTGAATTAACTTGCAACTTTTAAGAAAAGTCAAGTCTACCATGAAGAAAACAGAAGCACTTCTGAAAATATGACAAAGAACGGAATTCAAAACTTTGAAAAACAAAAACAAAAACACCACGGGTTGAGAAAGGAACCCTAAAAACCCCCAAACTGTTTTGAGGTAAAAAAAAAAAAAAAAAATCAGCCTCTGCCAGCATATACTTTAACTGGGAAAACATTTATGTCAGTATGAAGAGTCTTACATTTTTGCATAAAAATGTGTATTTACTCACATCTGCTACATAAGCCATGTATCTAATTCTTTTTTGATTTGCAGGAGGAAAATGAAGACATGTCCGTTTTATAAGCCTATGGACAACCACGGGAGAGAGGGTGCCGAGGTAAACGCTGCCACGGGACTGGGCTGGTGACAGCAGCGTCCCTGTAGCAAGTGTCACCGACCAGAGACCTAGAGACGGGGAAAGGAAGCCCCCGCAGGACACGCCCAAGCCAGGTCGGTCACACCAAACGGGGTTTCCTAAAAATAGCAGGTACTTAGAAAAGACCTTGCGAAAGAAACCAAAAAGAAAACAAAAAGAACAAGGAAAAGGACAAAAGAGACGACACGAAGGAAGGTATCTGCAGAAATCCGAAGACCCAAGGGAGACAAGAGGTAAAGGGAGGGAACTGGGAAACGCAGAGAGAAGAGTCCCCTACGTTAATGTAGGACAAGCCACTGGAGTCCCTGTGTCTCCAATTTTGGATACGGTATGAAATGATTTCTTTGAGCAATACCTTATTTACACGGAGTATCCTGTGGTGGGTTATTCTGGAAAGCCCTGCTGTGTGGGCGGGTGACGGAACAGACGGCCACCACCAACCTGGACCTACCTTCGCGGTGATCTGAAACTCCTCGTGCTCTTTCAGGAGCTCCTGTGTGTGCTGTATGCTGGAACCCGTGGACGTATGTGTGGAAAGGTAGAACTCTCCGTTGTCATGGATCCACTCTAAAGCCTAGAGAGGGAAGGAATGGAGACGTTCACGGCTCAGCACTGGCAAAGAGGGTCCCAGTTCTGTCGTATCTCACTCAGATGTGATGTCACAAGCCAGCGCTGGCACACGCATAGAGTGCTCCCACAAAGAGAGACAGGCTTCTGAAATAAGCACTGCAATTCCAAAATTAAAAGAAAAAAAAAAAAAAAACACCTGACATTCTAGAAGGTTGTAACCATGTCACTTCTGTAGCAATGATTAAAGTGTTCAAGAGGTTCTTGGGTGCCTGGGTGGCTCAGTCAGTAAGCATCTGACTCTTGATTTCTGGCTCAGGTCACGATCATGTGCTTCGTGGGATCGAGCCCTGAGTCGAGCTCTATGCTGACAGTGCCGAGATTGGGATTCTCTCTCCCCCTCTCTCTGCCCCTCCCCTGCTCACACGTTCACAGGCTTTCTCTCAAAATAAGTAAATTTTTGAAAACTGTAGAAGATTTTTATGTGCTGTTTGTAATCTCTGGGCCATCCGCTGTGAGCTGCTGGTCTTAGAGCAGAGACATCACTGTCTCTACTAGATACATCACAGCACTTATAGCATTTTAGAAAACACGAAAAGGAAAGCACGACCCAGACAGATTATTTGCCGTGCAGCTTCCTGAGTGGGGCTGTCACTGCTGTCAGGCCTGGGTACGGTTGCCCTTCCTCCCCCTGCCGACTGGGGAGGGGGATGTACAAAGAGGCACGAAGACAAGTGGGGGCAGGGACGCCACGCTCAGAAAGGGAGGTCAGCACATGCGGTGTCCAGGCCGAGAGGGGTTGGCTGCGAAGTGGGGGGGGGGGGTGCGCTCAGGACCTGGCGCAAAGCGGGGGGGCTCAGAAGAATGGGGAGAAGCTCAGCAGGCGGAGAGGTATGCACCACAGGCCCAGGCTGATAGAGCTGGCCTGCGGGGGAAGCCGGGGAGAGAGGCCGGGGGTGAGGCCGGGGAGGGCAGGAGGGCCTTGGAGGTCACAGGCACAGCCTGGACTTTTGTGGGAAAGCTAGTGGGGCTGCTGTGAGGAAAAGGAACTGCAGTGGACAGGGAGTAGAAGAAGCAACACTGGTCGGCAAACTGGTTCAAAGGTTTGGGCAGGACACGGCTGGGGTTTCCATAGCACGAGGGCTCTGGACGTGAAGGGGGAGGGCAGGCCTGACACGTGTGGGAAGTCCGCACCTATGGGACTCACGAGGGAGTGAAGGTGGGAAACTGGGGAAAGATGGGAAGGAGCTCTACATCCTGAAAGGTGAGGGGATGGGGGGGACACACCCCGTAAGACGAGGAGCATACACTCCTCGTATACACTCCTGTATACACAGGGCACACACTGTGTAAGACGAGGGGGACACGCCCCATAAGACGAGGAGCGGGGGGTCAGGCGTCGTGAATCCACTTCTGTTCTCAGGAAGGCCCCAGTGGAGACACCACGGAGACAACTGGGATTTGTAAGTCTGGACGCCAGAAACGGAGGTCAGGGCTGGGAGACACCCACAGAGGAGATAAGAAGATGGGGAAGAGAAACAAGGGCAAGCCCAGGCCGAGCCCTGGAGAATGCCAACATTCAGCTGCAGAGATAAGGAAGAGGGGACAGCAGAGAGCCTGGGAAAGCAGCAGAAGAGGAGGAGGCAACCAGGAAGCCCAAGGGCCGGACTCGCCCAGAGACAGAACCGCGGCCGGAGTCCCCCCTGCGGACCCCCACCGGGGACGCTGCAGCCAGGTGACCTCAGGGCTCCGCCGTCCTGAGAAGCGCAGACACTGGTGGTATAACTACTGGGTTTTACCCCAGGATCATGGCACAGAAGAGAACCCACAGGGCCACGGGGTCATCGTTTGCCACGGCCTATGCTTAATGATCTCATTTTTGGCCAATGAGCCAACTTTAGGAGAAAGCAACAACACATCTATTGTTTTTCTCCATTAAAATAGTTATTTACAATTTTGTTCTCTGCAGCTGATTGCTTGCCTTTTAACAGAGAAACAATAAAGAAAGATATGGGAGAAAAGACTATGAAACAATCTCTAATTAGAAACAAATCAGGCCCCCATGCATCTGAAATATGGTGGAACGATCATCAAATCAAATGTTAAGAAAATGTAATTTAAGTTCTGAAAAATACTACTGCTTGCCCTTGTGTTGGGAATATGATAACTACACGTGGTGAAACCAGCAGAGAGAGAGAAAGACTGAGACAGGATGCCAGGTCCATGGACCATGAACTCCAGCTTATCAATCTCTGGGGAACTGATCCCCAGAGCACCCGGCCACCCTCTGGAGACCAACATTGACCAAACTGAAAGAAAATCCCTAAGTGGGAAATTGTGCTGAGGAATATTCGATCTTTCTTAAGCTAAACGATTTAACTGACTGCCTTACTCTGTGACAGGCACAGGTGAATTTAGAAGACTGCCCATGTGTGGTGCGGTCACCAGGGACCACAGCACTGAAGAGGCGCCTTGACCTGCAGGACAGGAGAAGGCTCAGACAGGCGTCCTGAGAACCAGCCTTCTGTCCTCTGTTCCCTCCTGACGCTCCAAATTCTGGACAAACGGCTATGGATTCCTATGCTACCGTTAAGGCCAAGGAGAAGAGACAGGAATCTTAGTTCAAGTTAGGGGTCAGACAGACTTTACTCTAAAATGATCTTCCGTGACTAACCATTCAGGCAGAAACCCTGATCTCAAAATGACTTCAGAAGACAGAAACTCTAAACAGATTTTTTTTAAGTAGGTTCCATGCCCAACCTGGGGCTTAAACTCACAACCCTGAGATCAGGAGTTGCATGCTGTATCGACTGAGCCAGCCAGGGGCCGCCTAAACGTATCATCTTTGGGGCACTTGGGTGGCTCAGTTGAGCACCCGACTTCGGCTCAGGTCATAATCTTGAATTTGTGAGTTTAAGCCCCATGTCGGGCTCTGTGCTGCCAGCTCGGAGCCTGGAGCCTGCTTCCAATTCTGTGTCTCCCTCTTTCTCTGCCCCTCCCCACTCGTGCTCTGTCTCCATCTCTCTCTCAAAAATAAACATTGAAAAAAAAATCGTCTTGATATCTCTACATTAGCCAACTGCCTGAACATTTTTTTATTCTACTGAATTCTTAGAAATTCTGGCACACTTTATTTTAGCTCAATTTACCTGAAGAACAAAATTTTATGTTGAAAATATAAATATAGCAATATAAAAAAAACACCCACTATAATATTTATACAAGCACAGACCTGGATTCTACAATGATTTAAAAAAAATTTTTTTAAGGCTTGTTTATTTTTGAGAGAGAGAGAGACAGAGTGGAAGCAGGGGAGGGGCATAGAGAGAGAGAGGAGGAGACACAGAATCCAAAGCAGGCTCCAGGCACTGAGCTGTCAGCACAGAGCCTGACACGGGGCTTGAACTCACAAACCACGAGATTATGACCGGAGCCAAAGTTGGATGCTCAACTGACTGCACCACCCAGGCACCCCAACAATGATTTTTGAATCATCATCATAGTTACGACTCGTACTTGCTGGTCCTAAATACGAGGTAGGCTGTGTGGCATGCTTGCTGGGAGCCCAAATCACAGTTTTACAGGGTTGTGGGTTTTCTTTTCATAGCAAACTGATTTAAAAGGCACGACTGATCTCATCATTTGAAAGTGGTTTTCAACATGGCTGCAACGTCCAAAGCTGCCCAGCTGAGGACAGAGGTGTAAACGGAGGGTGGAGAGCAATGGGGAGCCCGGGGTCGTGACCGACCTGCTTGGCACTTCGTTCAAAGACCACATACTGCTGGCACTGGTCTAGCCGTCTCTTCCTCATGGTCCAATAATGCAATACCCTGTTCTCCCGCTGGAAGAGTTCATTCAAGATATCTAAGAGGATAAAGAGGAAGACTAATGTTGGCGCTTGCAATCAATGGAGACACTTGCAAAATCCCGCTCATGTTTATTTACAGACTTTATGCAAATGTCAACGTAAGACAGAGCATTCAGTTAAGAGAGCCACACTTGCCTTCCCCATGTTCTCAATGAGCATGTCAACCAGACCTCTCCTTATTCTCTTACCCCAACTTATTATCTTAGGATGGAGGTCACTGGAAACTTAAGGCTGGCTGGATTAATGGGATAAGCTATTGTGTCTCCTGCTGGGACAAACTGACAACGGCCGACAAAACTTCGGTATTAGGCATTTCATTCAACAACATTCAAACCTCCCTGTGAAGGAACTTAGTACAAAGGATGCATTGCAAAATGGTGGCGTACTAGAAGAAAACACGTTTTGGTTTTTCTTTCTTTCTTTCTTCTTCTTTTGTTTTTTGTTTTTACAAAGACAAAAACAAAACCATAAACCATAAGAGAAGCAGGGACATGACAACAGAGAAGCATGGAGCCAGAAAGGCCGAAAAACCCTGATTACATAAAAATTATAAAATGTCATAACCAAACATAAACCATCGTAAAAACATACCACCAATTAAAAATCCAGTTAACATTACTAGGAAATATAAAACACAGAGCTAGTGTACTTCCCAGTAAACAGGAAAAAGATGAACAGTCTGTTAGAAAAATGAGCAAAGCATATAAACATGGAGTTTGTGATTTCTAAAATGTGGCCACTAAATACACAGAAACATGTTTAACTTCACTCCAACGATGGGGCCATCTTCCACCATGTTCCTGGCAAGGACTGTGTCCTCCCATATGCTGGGAGGCTGGGGAGCAGAGGGTACAGGCACCAGTGACCCTGCATTACTGACGGGAAACAGGGCACAAGTCTTGCAGTGAACACTCTGGCAACAGATAATGACACTGGAAGTGTGTGTACAGCTGCGAACCAGGAATTCGATTGTTCAATCCTTCGGATGTACGGTGCTTACACGAGCGGTATGTATCAGGTGCACAAACACTAAGGCACCGTTTGGAAAAACTGAACAGCAACATCTGGGGGTCAGGTTAAGCCAACTATGAAATCATTATACTGCACATTAAAAAGCATACAGCAGAGCTTTAAATTCTGATACAGAACGAGGACTAAGTTGTATTGACAGTGGTGACCAGCGGCTATGGAATTAGATAATTTATATACATTTGCACACTCAAAACAATTTTTACAGGGAGTCTGTTTTACTCCAAAGGTTTATAAAACACACGAGAAACTTTAGGAGAAGATTCCAGAGACTGAAACTGCAAATCAAATAAAAGGTGTCTAGATTATAACTTAATTAACATTAGGAAACTGTAAAAATATTAAGCGGTCCACAAATATTTCAGGGTTCCCGAGAGGCTGAGCCACTTTGCGACAAACCAGAACCCATAAGCAGTGCTTACCTGGCAGCTCAGGGGTCAGGCTATACGATCTTTACTGAAAAAGTAAACTAACGTAGCGATGCAAATTAACGCTTTAAATTTCTGAAGCCGGTCAGAACCATAAGCTACCACTGAAATGAAAATATGACACGTGAAAATGAACGTGAGCCAATCGGTCTTTTCCAGTTCCTTCTTTCCACCACCCCCGCCTGGGGCAGGACTGATTTGGGGCGTGTGAGCAGCAGGGCAGGGAACCACCCCTGCGGGGCCTGGTAGGGGAAACTGCCTGGCCTTCCTCAAGCACCTGAGGGTTGTCTGGGGTCACAGGGTCTCTTCTGGCACCATCGCCCTTACGTGGGTCTAATGCACCGTCCCACACGTGAACCCAATGAGAGAAACCAAACATTTCGTTTTTAATTCTCCAGAGCACCCAGAATGATGACAAACAGCAGCAAATGTGTGGTGACTATCACGTAAGTGGGCACAGGGAACACAGTCCCCTGTCTCACACACACATACACCCATTGGACTAGGACAGCCTTGTGAGGATCGTCACGTCTGTGATCAGACAAAGCAGATGATGACCCACAACCAAAGGCAATACTGAAGGATGACAGAAAGGCAATGATTTTTATCTGAAATGAGCCAAGTAAACAGATTACCAATGCAAGTAACTTGCTCCTGCTGAAAAACGGTTGCGTTTGTCACTCATTTTCCCAAGAGAAGAGCCCACCAAGTAATAAATACGGACCTCATCTGTGGAGCTTAGAGGATTATACCCATGTGATGGATAGTATTTCTGTGACACCTCTAACAGATGAATCCCGAAGAACGGGGAGCGGAATACAACAAAGTTTCTGCCAATCATATGGTCTTAAAGAGTAAGAGGAATCATTTGTTAACAGATTATGGCAATTTTTTCCCTATGAAACCCAACTCTGAGAGGGAAGGATGAAGGACCCCAGTTTCTTCATGTGTTTAGTGCCGATCTCTGAAGCTCTCGGGAAGGATTACCGTGGACACAAGGTACCTTTGTGTCAAGACTGTTCTAAATTCATGAACATTTTCTGAGGATCCATTTCCATGTCGTTTTATTTGAACCTGAAAAAACTATGACTAAATCCAAGTTTTAAGTTCGAGAACACCTGAAGTTGTTTTCACTGTGAAGTATCCCATCGGAATTCTAGAGTAGAAACCATCAGCCCCCCTCACATCCACCCATACCAATCCTGTTAACAATTTAGTGTAAAATTTTCCCAGATCTGTTTCTATGTGCTTACATTACATATACGTAAAAACATGGTTTTACAGAAGTTTATATTCAAAAGATACCAAAATATATGATACCGGGCAATTTGCTTTCTAAGTATGTCAAATTGATAACACTTTACAGAACGATATTGGTGTATAATTTCTTGATTTGAACTTTTAAAAATATTTTGACTACAGAAAAATTCTGATTTTACTCTTTTCTCCGATTTACAATATTTTCACTTGTTGTAACAAAATAGTCAAAGCTAATAAATACCATGCTGTGTGTTCTCCCTGTTTATACTCTTCAACTTTATTCAATAAATTACCAATCTAGATCATTTGTTTCATACTTTATCAGTAAACAAAGAAAATTGGTGAGAACTTTAATAATACGTAACGGAAATTTAAAACGAAGCCCAGATCTTAGGATTTTAGACCGCGTTCTCACCAAGCTCCTTGCATCACTTGCCGGTAAAGGGAGTCCCGACTGTACTCACTTTTTACTTGTTGTTCAGGAGCTTTGATGTGGGTCACCATTCCCGGCATGTTCACACTATTCCTGTGCAGGTACTTCAGGAAGACATCTGCATTCCTTCTAGCAAGTGTGCAAGCCTAAGAAGTACAGGGAGAGCAACGTGGTGTTAATTGGACTCGTACAAACATGTATTTTGAATACATACGGGTGACAACAGCATGTAGCTCTAGCATACACCTTTACCTAAAACGTTTTCAAGCCAACCTGTGCTTTGGAGGGTACACAGGTTAAGTCCTATTTCAATTAAAAACAACAACAAGAACAACTGTGTCTCTGAGCCCTTGCCCTGATGAAACCAGCTGCCATGCTGAGCGCTGTCCTATGGACAGGTGCACACAGCAGGGGGCTGAGAGGGACCGCCGGCCTGTCCAGCCTCCAGCTGACCAGGTGTATATTGGTGTATCCCCTGGCCAGCACCTCAATAGCAGCCTGGGGAGAAACCTGGAGGCAGAGCACCCAGCTAAGCTGTGCCTGGATTTCTGAAAAGGGCAGACAGCATTTTCAGCTTCCCGAGTCATTCAGTCTCTATCTCTCCAACCACCCCCCCCCCCACAGGAGAGTAGCCACGGGCAACATGTTAATGAATGAGAGTAGACACATTTAGCTCTCAGGTCTGAGTCTGCCAACCCCTACTTTAAGCCATCGAGTTTTGGGGTGGCTTGTTTCGTGGTATTACTGTCACAGATAACGGACATTCCATCTTTAGAAACCAAATAAGTAATCTCATTAATGTATTTAAAAAAAAAACAAGAGGAAAAAAAATCCTTAATTATATTTGAATTGGAAATCCCTTACACATTTCCTGTCTCAGATCTGGAATTAATTCTTCTTCAGGGAGCTCTGTCTCCTTGCGTGTGGTACATGGTATATAGACCACAATTGGGACTGTATACTGGGGAGTTCCTTTTTTCTGGTCGGTCACTGTTTCCAGGCCTTTCTAGTGGGTGGAGCTACGACACTTTTTAATTAACCTAAGACTCTATCACGGGTCTCTCCAGATAAGCCTGAAATCAGCTGCCGTAACTAAACAGTGAGGAGGCTGCAGAAGACAACCAGGGTTATGTCAGAAGGACATCAGGGCCCTTCTGAATGGAAGGCGCACCCACGAATGGGACAAGTTGAATATAAAAAAGATAAATGACTGCAATTGATTAAAACACACCAAATATATTACAATCCATGAAGATAGTAAGAAAATTAATCATATGTAGAGGTTGTTAGGGTAACAGCTCATTATCCCGAAAATGATAAACAAATGGAAAGAATCAGGCACTTCTGCCTGTTCTGGACAAACTCTACTTGAAAGTAACCAAACAGCTAAGGAGGGAAGAATTCTAGCTAATCAAGGCAGAAGTAATGATGGAGTATTACCGGTTTTGCGACTCCTTGTGAAACATAATCACTACAGGGCACTAAAGCCACTGGGTGAAAGGCAGACGTGGAAGGCACGTGACAGGTGAATGGGACCCCCTACATCTGAAGCACTGACGACTCCCCCGATTACACAGATAGAAGGAGCAGCAGGTCTCCTGGGCCTCCTGATGTGACGTCATGGAAAGTACGCGTGGGGAGAACACCTGTGCCAGGTAAGCGGACCGCACGCGCGCGCACACACACACAAACCTGGATCCGACTGAAACTCCCGACATAACAAACTCAGAGGATCCAGGGCGCTAAAGGACCGTGTGGGACGCAAGCATGGAAATCCAGAGTGAGAGAAATAGCACAGTAGGAGTGAGTCACTTCTTCAATAAATACTAATAAAAGGAGGTGCTGTTTAGATTGAAGGAGATTTAAGAGACATACCAATAAAATCAATGCGTGGACCCTGTTTAGAATCCTGATTAAAACTACATATAAAAGACGTTTATGGATCGATCAGAGATATTTGAACACTGTTGGATTTTGTATAAAATAAGAGATACTGTTAATTTTTAGGACAGGATAATGGTGTTGTGGTTATGTTTTTGAAAGGCAGAATTTAAAAAAAAAATTTTTTTTTAACGTTTATTTATTTTTGAGACAGAGAAAGACAGAGCATGAACGGGGGAGGGTCAGAGAGAGGGAGACACAGAATCTGAAACAGGCTCCAGGCTCTGAGCTGTCAGCACAGAGCCTGACGCGGGGCTTGAACTCATGGACCGCGAGATCATGACCCGAGCCGAAGTCGGCCGCTTAACCGACTGAGCCACCCAGGCGCCCCTAAAAAAATTTTTTTAAATATTATTCATTATTGAGAGACAGAAAGACACAGAGCATTAGCAGGGGAGGGGTAGAGAGAGAGGGAGACACAGAATCCGAAGCAGGCTCCAGGCTGTCAGCACAGAGCCTGAGGCAGGGCTCGAACTCACAAACTGCAAGATCATGACCTGAGCCGAAGTCGGTCGCTTAACCAACTGAGCCACCCAGGTGCCCCGAAAGGCAGAATTTTAAAAAATATATTTGAGAGAATGTGCACACACAGGAGGGACAGGGAGGGAGAGAAGAATTCGAAGCAGGTGCCATGCTAAGTATTATAAAATGGTAATATTAGCAGGGCTTTATTCCACAAACCGTGAGATCATGACCTGAGCTGAAATCAAGAGTTGGACACTCAACCGACTTGAGCCACCCAGGCACCCCAGAAAGGCTGAATTTAATATTTAGTCATATGCTGAAGTATTTACAAATAAAAGGATATAATATCTAGAATTTAAAGTAACCCAGTGAAGGTGGGCATATGCCCACGTGCTGATAATTACTGACACTGGCTGACAGGGACACAGAAGTCTGGTATCGGTTCTATTTCGTATGCTCCTTAAACTTCCATAATGAAAAGTTTAAAGATCCCTAACACCCAAACACTACTGAATCCCAGTTGAATGCAGAAATCTGAACAGGCCTGTGATTATTTTTGTTTTAAATTTTTTCTAAGTATCTTTCTTAATTAACTAAGTAGTATTCAATTTTGTTTTATTCTGAATGGATTCCAGAGAAAGACAAATTACGATGATTCCAGGTCCAAACATCCTCACGGTGGTGGGTGTTTCATACATGGGCTTTCAGGTCCTGTGGCAAATGGTTAAAAAAACAAGCCCGAGGAAGCCATGACTGTTTTCCCAACTTTGGCCGCCGAAAAAGAGAGTCATGTGAGGGAAGCTCAAAAAAAGTTCCCAGATAGAATTTTCAAAGAGCTACAATCCGTTCTCCCAGACCAGACAGTAACTCTGTCAGGACAGAGAATCACCTTCAGGATGGAGACAGAAATTATTAAATGTAACAGGAAATGGTGTGAGAGGTGTCAGAACACTGAAGCTACGACAAAACTAAACTCGGTAAGGCCGCAATGAAAAGCAAACCCATGCCTACTTTTCATGAGGCTGAGTGGCAGCCGGCCGAGTCTCAGGAGATCTTTTCCAGAGTGAAAGACCATATCGTAAAGACACAGAAGTGCTGGCAAACAGTTTGAGCACTTTTCAGAACTTCTGGGTGACTGAAGTACGAACGCACACACACACACACACACGACAAAAGCGGCTAGAAAAAAGTCCTCAATTAAAGCTGCTCACAGTTAAAACTTCAAGCCTGGATTACGGGCTTAAATGTTTTGCGGGAAACACTTCCTGAACAAGTATTAGTAACTAATCCTGGAAATCACAAAGGGTGTTCCCGCCCCTTATCCACTGTACAGTGGGTTCAGTCTTTATTCCTAAAAAAGGCCGAATTTCCAAAGGAAGATTATTTTAAGGTACAGGCATTCTTGTCTCACCAAATCAATCTCTTTCTGTGTTCAACACCAACCAAACTGCACTCTGCACACAGGGGCTCCCCCTGGAAAGTGAAGGCGGCTGCACACCCAGCACATGGGGACACGTGTGGTTCTCTGAGAGTCCAGGCGAGCCCCCTCGTGTCTGTGTGCCCTGTGCAGGGACGCAGCAGCACCCCGGAGGCCACTCCGTACCTTCAGGAACGCTTCCTTTTGCTCCAGATGCTTGCTGATCATTGGGGTGACGTGGTCTGTCTCGGAGTTGGGGCCCAGTTTGTCGGCCCCTCCACACCAGTCCTCTTCTCTCTTGTACTCCTGCTCCAGGCTCTCGAGGACGCTGCAGACCTGTGAGCAGAAAGCCGCAGGCTCAGAGGGGCCACTCGGCATCTGATGCCACAGATGGTATCTTTGGGAAGTGTGGTCAGTCATGCTCTGGGGATAAAAGTGCTGGCCTGGGGACCAAGACCTTCGGAAGGCACTGTGGGCCCCACCTCAGGTGAGGACAAACGCAGGGGCCAAAGTAGGCAGGCCTTTCAGAACGAGAACAAAATAAAAACGGAATTTCCAGTCTCTCTCTGGTGTTTCAGGCTATGGATCTAAAGGAGAGGAAAGCGGATGTCTTCTCGGGTCCTTTCCAACCTATTCCTCTTGGATTCCTAGGGGAAGCAAGGATCATTCTACTTCGAGAATGCTTTTCTCTGCTTGAAGTTGAGTTCACTGGCTCGATAATAATGACTGACGAGTTAATGACTGAGCTATCCAACAAAACTAAGCTCCACACAGAATGCCGGTGAGGAGCCCAAGGACTAGAGCGGCCCTCCTCACCTGCTCTGAGGTTTTGTAGAAGGCGACAGACGCGTTCACCAGCTTGAGGCGGTCTTCCATCTTGAGCATGAGCTGTTGCCAGTGAGACGCCACTTTCTCGGCACAGTCCCTGATCATGTCCATGTCATAGTGATTGGCCTGCAGCATGGCCTCCGCCTTCTGCTGCACCTGCAGCGCACTCTGATGTGTCTTCTAAGGAAAGAGAAAGGACAGGGAACACTTGTGTGACGGGGGTGTCACGCATTTATTTACCAGGGAGGCTGTGGTCCCTCCGCTCCGCTTGCTTTGATCCAAACAACTTCAGCGAATGCTCATTAGGACACTTCTGAAAACACAGCACACGGTTCAGTTAAAAACAACAAAGTGTTCATGCCCAGCAACAACCGTGTTTATACTTAAATTACCTAATGAAGGATGAAATGCACTAAGACATTGCAGAATGGGTCTCAGTTGTGGGTTCTCAGCTTGAGAAATAGCAGGAAAAAACCTTAATAGCCAATATTCTAAGAAAGCTGTTGAAATGTTCCCAATTTATTCTTCCTATTCATCCTTCTTACAATAGCAGCCAGAGGCCAATGAACACACGGACAAAAAGGTGGCCACAGTGAGTGCATTTTTACCTTAAACTGTGTACTTGAGTAAAGTTTTCAAGAACTATTGACTTTAAAAGAGAGAGAGAGAGAGAGAGAGAGAGAGAGAGAGAGAGAAACATAATTAAAAGCTAAGAATGAACCAACTGTGCTCTCTGGAGGTTCATGCCATATTAAAATATCAACATAACATCACAAATCCGGTAGAATTCCTGCTTGTGTGTGCTCCTAGAAGATTCCACAAGATGCTGACAGGCCAGGTTCTCCCACTGACGAACCAGAGTGCTGCACAGGGTAGCAGTCAGGGGGGTAGAGGGGTCCATGGGTCTGTGACATGAACTGTTTTATTTTGTTTTGTTTTGTTTTAGACAACAGCAAAATTTTACAGATTGCCTGAAAAGGCACAAAATGATCCCATGAAAGACCATATACAATATGGCCCTGTCCTTCACTCAGACATGATGACATGTGTTAGCAGTTATTAGAAATCACTAGGCACAGTGTACAATTCTCAAAAGATGCCCAAACTCTGGGCTTCAGGAAGCGTTAACACTGGTCTGTTGACACTGAGTAGTTGAAAGTTAAGTTAGTCTCGAGAATAAATTACCGCTATTTTCTGTAGCCTTCTTCTCTGGCTATGTATGCAACCAGAGCAGGAAACAAGTTTTCTGCAAGCAAATGCTTTTTCCCTTGAGTTGACCTTGAGACCACCTATCACAATGAACTCCCCCCTCTCCCCTAAACTCTACAAATAATTAATCCATATGCTGTGAGAGTGAATTGTAAATGGACCTGGAACTGGGCCAAGCCATTCTGCTGAAGTCCCAGCCTGGCACCGACCCCCATCAAGGTGAGAAACACTGCTTTTCATCAGGGTCAGAGAGTTCTGTGCGCAGTGTTGTTTATGGATAACTGTGAATTTGTGATTTGCACTTGGTCTGGGTAAGCTGCCCACAGTGCTCTGTTTGGTCAGGGATGTGCTTAAGAGACCAGCAAAACAGAACACCCCTCAAGCCCAGACCCTGGCATGGGTTCTCGGGTGCCAAGTGTTCCTGACAGAGGGCGGTGCATCTTGCCGGGACCCTCAAGGCGGGAGGACAGTGGGAGCCACCAGGCGTTCTGGGGTGGCGCCGTGAGGTCCCCGAGCTGGCACACGCATCGTCCCCTTCATTATAGTCACCTGCCCGTTTGCTTCCCTGAAGGAAACTGTAGAGCATCAGCGCTGCCACTTAGGGTCCTGCTGAACCCCGTCTGGCTCAGGCTCAGTCCCCCGCGAGGAAGCGTACATGCATGTCCTGAGGCGAGCGGCGGGCCGGTGTCCCTACCTCGATGGCGTGCTGGAACTGCTCGTGCTCCCTCTGCAGCTGCTCTGCCTCCTGCAAGGAGCTGGCTGTGATGAGTCCGGCATTCAGCATCGACTCTCCGTTGCGGATCCAGCCCAGCACCTGAAATACGACACGGGGACCTCCAAGCCTCTGCCCTCCCCTGGGGGCCCCCCTGCAGGCCAGCCGGGACACGAGCCAAGTGAGCAAGGAGGTCAGGCTGCTCCCATCAGCTGGGAAACATGGGTTTCCTTATGGTCCCACCTGCCAACAGCCTGATGTCCTTCTAAGGTATCTGATCAGAAGTGCCACGTTTTAAGATTAATTCTTAAAATTAATTATGCTTTCAAATGGGAGCTGAAAAGGCAGAGCATCCAGCGGATGGTTACTGTTAGTCCACAGGTCAAAACGGATTAAGAATCACCTATCAGATCTACGGCCACAAATAATTCTCTGATAATCAAGGGAAGTATTTTTCATTCCTTTTATCCTTATTAACATTCAAAATTAGCAAACTGCTTGGTAAGGAAACTACGTTACTTCACCAACGTATTTTCTAATTTAACGTCAGCATTAAATGGCCCACTAACCAGAGAATGAATTCAGAGGTGCTGTAACGCCCAGGGTCAAAGTACAGGATCCCCAGCTGTGGAGGGTCATTCTGGTAGTTATTTGTGGCAAAGACCACTTACTGCCCACCGTACAGCTGGCTTTCCTCATCTCCTTTACTCAGAAAACTTAGACTTTGGGGGGTGGGGGGGCCTTAGACTAAAACTGCTTCCCAGCCCCTACATGCAGCTTCATCGAGGCTAGGAACATTCTGTAGCACCTCCCGCTACTGACATCACTGAAGCAGCCTCGGGGCAGCCGTGTGAACACATTTCTTTTCAGATACAAGTACTGCTTCTTCCCTGTTATGCTCTGCCCTTCCTGCTGCCTGGGAAGGGGACAGGGGAGCTGGGGCTACAAGAGCCATGTGGCAACCCATCGCCAGCATGTCTGCCTAACCTACCACGCGGCTGCTAAATGAACACCAGCCATCGACCACATCCTGCCCTGTTATGTAGAGAATATTTATAGGCAAATGCAATTCCTAGTGGATAGTCTAGTCCTTTATTTCTTACACACACGGTTTTATTTTTAGTAAGAGGGACACTTTATTAACTGGTCTTTATTGTTTTTTAAGTTTTTGGGGGCCCGGAGGGGCCTGGGGGGCTCATTCGGCTCCATATCCGACTCCTGATTTTGGCTCAGGTCATGATCTCACGGTTTGTGAGTTTGAGCCCTGTGCCCGGCTCTGTGCTGACACTGCAGAGCCTGCTTGGGATTCTCTGTCCCCCTCCCTCTCTGCCCCTTCCCCACTTGCATTAGCTCCCCCTCTCTCAAAATCAATAAAGAAACTTAAAAAAAATAAAGTTTTATGTAACTAATCTGCACCCAACATGGGGCTCAAACTCATGACCCCGAGATCAAAAGTCACATGCTCTTCTGACTGAGCCAGCCAGGCACCCCTATGAACTGGTCTTTAAAAGGCAGGTCACGATACTTTATCTCATCACATGGGGCACCAACAGGTGCTCTTTTAGTTTTCCACTTTGGCAGCACACCTGCTTCAGTGTGAGTGCCACCCACATACACACCGCAAACTGCTAACACTCCAGAGGCACCTGATCCCCTCCGTTCGACCTAATACATGCTTTTCTGAGCCTCCATCAGAATCTCGGAAGGCCATACCTTCCTTGCCAGGAAGGTGGTATCATGAGGGGTTTCTCTGCTCGTGAGATAAAATGTCATGTACATGCTGAATGCAGGTATGTATAGAATCCTAATGGCTATGAGCCGAAAACAATCTTTCAAATACTCCATTTTTATTTTGCCATGCTATCTGAGACATGGCAGTGCGGCATACTGGTAACAGAAGAAGTCTCCAGCCCTGCATAAGCTGTGATACCAGCCTATTTGGCAGAAAAATCATATCGTTATTTAGCCTGAGAAGCTATGTGCTCAGAGTTTCAAGCAAGAGATTACCAGTAACAAAACAAGCCAAATGGATGTTACTTTCGAGTGCTACGTCTGCTGGGCTGGAAGCCTTCTCCACTACAGAGTCAACACACAGCTGTCCGGGCGCTGGCTCAACACTTACTCATGAGCTAGGGCTGCCCTGGGGGAGTGTGTCACATCATGTGTGAGAACAACGCTTACACACGAGCTAGGGCTGTACTGGGGGTGGGTATGTTACATCATGTGTCAGAACAGCTGTGTCTGGAACAGGGACAGTCTCCCCAATTTCCAGGTGGTCACACACCGAGTGCCCATGCACGGGGGCCCGCTGTGGTCCGGCTCGGCACGCAGCCCTCTGTTTACCTGCTTCACCTCGGCCTGCAGGTGGCGAAGTTGCACACACTGTTCCAGGTGCTTCCGATGCTGCTCAGCCGCGACATCCAGCTCCTGCTGCTTCTCGTGAAGGAACTCCAGCAAGTCCTGGACCCGGGTGGCCATGTCTACGTCTCTGTCGCAAAGCAGCTCCACGCCTGTGGACATGAAGGGAGAGCCGAGAGTTCGGTGGGCACATCGACCCATTCTTCAGCCGTGTGACGGACGCCGTGCTTTCGAATAATCTGCTGGTCAGGCCAAGTTCAAGGAAGGCGTGACCAACACAGGAGTGTTTGTTTCTGTGTGCCTCCAAGCACGCGAGGGGGTCTCAAACAACGCATCTGCTGTGTTCCAAAGCAAAATACAACGCACGGCTAATCAAACCAAACCCATTTCGGGTCAATCTTTCCACAGTGGTTAAGTGGTGACATGTGCCTCACTCTTATAAGCGAGAGAACTTTGGCTTGCTTTTGTTGTGTATCACTGCACACCCAGTTTACTCTTTAGGAAGCATTTGATTTGTGTAAAATGAGTGATATAGTATGCAGGCTGTTGCTAAGTTTCAAACACTACACATTTCTGTCTACATTTTTGAGCCTATAGTGACATCTGCTGGTAAAATATAAACTAAGAAAAAAATAAAGAATGTGAAAAATTTGTTGGAGATTCACATTTCATTCATGGACAATTAGCGTTCATGCTACCTGAAATGACAAGCCAAGAGTATTAAGGGCTAAGTACACTAATCATAATGTCACAGGTGATCACATGTGAACACAAAACAGCCAAAACGTTCCTTTCGAAGAGCAGGTACCTAGAACATCTACGTCACAGGGGCTGACCATGCTTTGCAGCCATCGCACATCACACATCACACATCACACACACACACACACACACACACACACACACACGATAAAAACCCCACAAGTGACACAGACCGAAATGCACTCCTTACCAGAGGCCTGCACTTCATTGACATACTGCAGAAGGTCCTGCCCTTGGTGGATGACATCGAAGGTTAAGTTATTCATGGTCAGAGCTTTGTCTGCGTGGTGCTGCAGGCGCTGTTCCGCTATTGTGAGATCTTCTGTGTCAAAGTCGTTCATTTGCTGAGAAAGCTCATCATTCCAAGACTCAAGGTCTGAGATGATCTGACAGAGGAGAGCGTCTCCTTAGGACCGAGACTTACAAAATAACGAACATGTGCTGTGACCCCTCACTGCGCCAAGTAAGGAAGAAAGGAATGTGACCGGGTCCCGGGGACATGGAAGCCAGCTGTCGGGGCTTCCATGGGCCACAGATGGGACAGTTAGACACAAAAACCTACCACAACTGAACAAAGTTTATCAAACATACAAAAACACATTAACCCCTAATGGTACTTTTTAAAAAAAGAAGAGTTAAAAAGCCTAAAACTAAATGAAAAACTTTTTTCCCCTTCATGTTTGTTTATTTATGTATTTATGTATTTATTTATTGAGAGAGAGATATCACGAGCAGGACGGGCAGAAAGTATCCCAAGCAGGCTCTGTGCTGTCAGTGCAGAGACCAACGTGGGGGTTGAACTCATGAACTGTGAGATCATGACCTGAGCCAAAACCAAGAGTCAGAAGCTTAACCGACTGAGCCACCCAGGCACCCCACATGAAAAACTCTTCTGATTAGAGGTTGACAGGAGACCAATCTTCATCCTAAAATTGGTAATTAAAAAATTATTTAAGCCTATAACAATGAAGAAAGGTTATCCTTTATAGATAAATCTAGTTATTAAATGCAGAAATAATAAAATTAGAAAGTTTGTTCTAATTATTTTTTTAATTCTAGTGAAATAGCTGTTCAGACAATGATCATTGTGCAGTTAACTGTAATGGAAAGAAAGAGGGGACCCAGCAGGAGGGTCAGGCTGCCCCATCCTCATCCCGCAGACCAACCTCTGCGCCCCACAGAAGTGGGGCCAGACAGGACCAACCTCTGACAGGAGAAGCTGTGGGTCCTGTGGAGCATCTGGCACAGAAACAGACCTGGAATCTCAATCAGGTCTTTACATCTAAACTCCAAGTTTATAAGGAGCACCAGGGAAAGAAAACTAGTTAAACAGAAGAAATCACTAAGCGAATGCAGAACGTGGGACCTGGTTTCTTCAGCTGACGCAGTTATTTCCACAAGTCACGGCAGGAGGAAAAGAAGGCTAGCTGAAGAGACGATTCTGGACAGAAAGGCTAAGTATCCTATGTGGGCACAGTGCCCACATGCCCAGTAGGGGCCACCCGTAGAGGGTCCAAGAGAAGCAGGGTCCTAGAGAGCAAGGACTCTGGTGGGGGAGGGGGGTGCGACTCTGGTTATATAAGAAAAGGTCTTACTTTGGAGAGATACTTAAGAGTCTTTAGGAGTGAAATGATAAGCAGACAAAGCTTTTCTCTCAACTACTACAGCACAACAATAACAAAAGAAGGGGGATTTGCACCAGGGAACACACAATCCTGCTACATTTGGGAGACAGGCACATGGGCATTCACTGTATGATCCTTGCAACTTTGGTGCAGATTTGAAAACTTTTGTAATACACTTTAAAAAATTAAGATGAGAAGTTACAGAATCCAGAAAGGAAGAAAAAAACTTCTTGTGAAAGAATACTGTATTATACACTTCAGTGGAATAACATTCCCCATGGGTCCCGATTTACTTTATCTAGAAGAGCAGTAACCACATGAGTTTGAAAATCTGAGAAATGTGAGAGAGTTGACACAGAATCCAGCGAGGAGATAAAAGGTAATAAAAACTGAAGCCTTCCCCAAATGCCTATGGCACAAATCTTCCAGGTTTACTCTTTCATTAGAGAGGTCTGCATACAGTATATTCATTTACATTAATTTATAAAATTGATAAATTTAAATAATGTTAAATTACACATAAGCCAAAAAGCCACTGAGGGGAAGTATTTTTAACAAGGAAGGAGATGACCATACCTTTAATCTTTACCTCTAAGGGGAATCTTCTTTCTTAACGTTTGTTTTTTGACACTGAGGGAGGAGAGACTTGGGTGTGGTGGTGAGGTACAGACTTAGCGCTAACGTCTCATGGAGACAGCGATAGGGCTCAGACAGCACTCGAGCAGCGGACAGTAAATAAAGATGGATGTGCTAGAACCAGCGGGATTTGAAAACGCTCACCAAGCTTCAAGAAACCCCGGCGATGGCCATGATCAAAAGATCATCAGGAGAAATCCTGCCCAAGGCTTACAGTCACAGTTTGTCAATCACACATGTGAAGACAAGAAATTGGTGGCAGAAACAAAGCTCAAGAAAGTGGAAATGACTTTTGAATACCAATTCTGGAGAAACAACTTGTGTTACTTCTCTTCCTAATGGTACATATAACTGTGTTCCATAAACAAACTGTCACAGGACGCTGTAGGAATGACTCCGCTGTTTCCAGAGCAATCGAGCAGGTTTTCCCTGGAAATAGGAAGAGGCTGAAACAGGAACATTCTCAGCGCAGAAAACCTAGATCCGGGGCGCCTGGGGGGCTCAGTCGGACGAGCATCCAACTTCAGCTCAGGTATGAATGATCTCAACGGTTCGTGGGTTTGAGCCCTGCATCGGGCTCTGTGCTGTCAGTGTGGAGCCCACTTTGGATACTCTGCCCCCTCCCCCCCTCGCGCTCTCTCTCAAAAATAAACATTTAAAAAACAATTGGCCAAGGAATAGATAAGTTTCTACCATAAAGATAACTCCTCACATGTGCAGTCAGATGGAGCATTTTCCCAGATAAGGGAGGAAATCCCAGCTGAAGTCCTAACTGCTCAGGTTTTCATGTTTTAGGATTACTCCAGAGAAAAGAGGCTCTTAGGCTGTGACATTTTAAAAAGCTTTTAAACTACACTGTAGCTGGCCTGTGACTGCACTGTGGGTTTAATTTCCTTAGCTCAGGAAAGCACTTACCTCTGGCCTGGCCCACCGGCTTTATTAAGGCCACTTGGAACTTTGTAGCTTTGGTGTGGAGAAAATGTAGGTTTCTGGTTTCTGAACTACATATTAAAACACTAGTTTGTTGATAATGGAAATACAATTAAATTTTTTCCCTTTAAAGTAGCAATAATACAGATGAAGCCAAGAGATTTTTTTTTTTTTGAAATATCAACATGTCTTGAAGAGAAACTTCAAATAATGCCTGTTTCCAAACTGAAACTATTCAACAAGCAGCTAAGTTTACAAAAGCAATTCATCTGAAGTAGAGATCAGAGAGGAAAACAGCCATGCTGGGTCTTCTGTTCATACCGCCAGCAACCTGGAAGCTGGACTGCAGGCCCAGGCCATGGGCAGGTCCTTAAAGAGCTGAGGACAGCGTGCCTTTTCCCTACCTGGCTTCATGTGTCTCTAAACATCAAGACCGAGAGCAGATTTTACCAGACAATGTGCGTAGGGTTTAATTCCTCTCTTGTCATGAACCAGAGATGATGATAAGAACAGCCGAGAAGGCCTTTCTTTAATGAAAACACTGAGGGAAGTTTAGACAAGTGGCCAACCAAGGCCCCCCCCCCGAGAGGCCTCGCACAGGGCCTGGCCTGGTCCTTGTACCACAGGCAGAGCTGGGCCTACAGACAGGCCCGAGAGACGCAGGCAAAGCCCACTTCAGCAGAGCGTCCTCCCCTCAGCCGAGGTAAGTGAAGCAGTCTACGTGAGGCCCCACCGTCCCTCTGCCCCAGTGGATTTAGGGTCTGGGTCTGCATGCCCTCAAGGCCCTTGCGCGGGCAGGGCATGCCCTCCAGACTGCCTGGGCAACGTGCTCCACCAGCCGCGTGAAGCTGACAGGCACCGGGAGATTGGCCTCATCTGGGCCAAGTGAGTTTTGGTTCCTTCATTCATGTTTCACAGACAGATTCGGCATCATCCAATTATACTTACTTGGGCTTGCAGTTCATCAGGTTCAAAACTCAGATCTTCCCTGGCACATTAAGAAACGGCCTTTTGTTGAAGTAAAAGGAAAGAAACTCACAGATAAGGGGCAATTTGTAGGCAAGGATGAAAGATCATCTGAGCACACTCCTTGGAAAAGACTGGATTTCCTGCTCTCTGCAAATGCTATCACCACTGACGAGCCTTATTCTCACTCCTGGTGGAGGCAGGTGGGGGCAGGGGGCAGGGGGCAGGGAGGGACAGAAAGAACAGGGGAGAGTGGCGGCCTCAAGTGTGTGCCTCAGACAAGGGGAGGGCTGCGTGGGACCCGGCCCCGGGCCCAACAGGCCAGGACACAGCCAGACGGGCTCGGCTGCACTCACACAGGCTGTGCTCCGTCCTGCTGTACGGTGCGGCTTCCAGCACAGCCCCCTCGGCTCGCAGGGCAAGACGCAAGCCTTCCTTCCTCTGTCCTGCCCCGAATGCAGGGGGAGAAGATGCCGGAACCGGCGGGGGATGAGGAGGGGGCACTCACATCGATGGCATCCCTCTCGAACACGCGCAGCTGCAGGAAGAGCTCCAGCTTGATCTTGCGCTCCTGGAAGAGCTCCTCCATCTGGGCCTGGGCCTCGTCCAGCTGCTGCAGCACTGTCTCGATGTGGCTGATGGAGCTGTTGTGGGGGGTCTTGTTGCTGGAAATGGCAGAGTCCCTGCGGAAGGGAGAGGGGACGGGGCGGCATGAGAAAGTCTCCCATCGTCAGACACCGGATCCGGCCGCGCAGACTTCAGCGGGAGGAAGGCCGGCAGGAAGCAACAACACTGGGCTTCCTCCTGCGAGCCAGCCGCCAGGTCTGTGGCCACACCGAAGACTGTCCCCCGCACCGCCCACCGTCCCCCTGCAAAGCAGCCTAGTAGCTCCAGAAAGTGACTTTCGAAGCGCTTCACTGTAGCCACTCTTCTCCTTAGTTAGAGAGAACAGAATCCACGATCCCTGCTTGCTAAAATGGTGGAGTCCCATCAGGAACAAGGGGTTAAACTCTAATGCAATCGATCAGGCCTTTATTGAGTCCTTTTCCCCCGACTCGCAGCAAAGTGAGCATCGCGTGAAGTTAGCAGTAATGGTTTGAGAAGCTGTCCTCGAAGGATCCAATAAAGGAAGTCTGCTTCCAGCCCCCGCAGAGCAGGGAGGAAAGCGACACCTGGGGCCTGGTCTCCCCCAGCCTCTGCTCCCGCAACAGGGACACCCACCATCCTCTGGGGACACAGGTCACTCAGGGTCTGAAGGACACAGTTCTGGGAGGTTTAAATCAGCCCGGCTTGTAAGGAAGTTCCAATAGTTACTAGGTAGCTGTTAACAGGACATATTAATAAAAGCCGAGTTCTGGGAAAGTTTATTAGTCAATGCCGTGATGAGAAAAATCATTGAGTTAAAAAAAAAAAAACAACCAGTCAGAGAGGGAAAAAAACAAAAAAGAGAAAGAAAGGGAGGTTACTGTCCTCTGTATGCAGACCTGTTATTTGCTCCCCACCTAGCAGGACAGGGAATTACAGCTCATTGTTCCCTGGCCGGCTCCAGGGGATGCGGGCGGGAGGAGGGGACCGGCCCACCTCAGCTGCTGTATGAGGTCCTCCCCTTCCTTGATCACGTTCACCGTCACTTGCAGGGTCGTCTGCTGCTGCTGGCCAAAGCGCTTGATGAGGTCCTGCACGGCCTCCACCGACTCGGCATACACGTCATCCAGAAGCTCCTTCTGCAGCTCCTCCAGCCACGTCCACAGCTGCGGAAGGACAGGGCGCAGTGAGCCCCCCTCCCCGAGTGACCCCGCTGGGAGGCAAGCGAGGCGGCCGGCTCCCAGGGACGGGAAGGGGGCAGGGGCATGGCCCGAACGGCGCCGGGGGGGGGGGGGGGGGGCGGGGCCGGCCCGGCCCCCCCCCCCCCCCCCCCCAAAAATCAGCGGGCCACCACCGCCTGGTGAAAACACACAGGCACAGAGCCGGAGGGGACTGTCACAAAAGTGAAGAGAGGAAAGGGAAGGGAAGTCAGTCTTTCCGATCCTTCCTGGGCTCAGTCCGAGAGTCAGAGGAATAGGAGAGACACCCCCTCCACCAACCAAAACATGTGCTAAGCATAACGCATTCTTCCACACATCCTCTGATTCTTGTTTAGCAGATGGATACTTTTATTTTATTTTTAGCAAGGGCACTACTACAATCCATTATTAATAATTAAACCACTGCTCAGATGTGGCCGCTCTGCATCGCTCAGAGAAGAAGGAAGCCTATGATGTGGTGGAATAAAGTCATCACCACGCCTGGCGGGAGAATCGGATGAGGCGCGGTGCTCGGTAACCTCGCCCATCCCGGGCCACGGCCAAGCCGGCCGCGACGCGGTCCTTCAGTGAAAGGAGTGTGCACAACGGGAACACTTCAACACCTCCATTCCACAACTGCGCCTGGGGACGTGGATGGGTGAAGACAACTTGGAACAACGGTGGCAAGAAGCCCGTTAGGCCTGGTGGGAGCAGAGCATGTCTCCCATCTCTGGGAAGCCCACCACCGCCTCCTCGAATTCTCCGGAGCGCCAGTCAGTAAACTGAAAAGGATGTTTAATTAGGCCAAGCAGGCCCTGGGGGCTGGGAAGCGGTTTGTGTGAGGAGAAAACGCTTCCTGCTTCCTCGGGGATGTAAGAACTGCCCCTCCCCCCCCCACCCCCTTATCTTCCAAGCATCCGTCACAGACATCACCTCTTCCCCTGACATTGACCAGCCGTGCTGGCCTTTGTGGCTAACACGTAGCAAAACCGTGCTTGCCAAAATAAATGCTGGACTTGGTCTTTTGTTTCTGAGCTTCTCTTTTTTGAAAACTGCCCTATGAGGAGGTGTAACTGACATACAATAAACTGCACAAATTTCCAGGATACAATTTCTTAAGTTTTTAACATATGGACACACCCACGGAGAGACCCCTGTTGTCCACAGCGAACAGCTCCATCACCCCAAGTCCTCCTGTGCCCTCTAACCCTCTGTCTTGCTCTGCCCTCCTGCCCCAGGCAATCACCCATCTGCTTTCTGTCACTACAGATTAGCTTGCATTTTCTTGAAAAAGTGTGTAAGTATGGACTGACTCTATTTTGGGTCTGGCTTTCCTTTGACAAAATTATTTTGACATTCATCCATACAGTTGTACGTATCAACAGTCCACACCTTCCACCGTGGACGTGTACTCCAGCCTGGGTGCGGGGCACAGTTCAGCCACTCAGCTCTTGATGGCACTGGAGCTGTTTCCACTTTTTGGCCACTACACAACTCTTAGGAACGTCTGTGCACAGTCTCTGTGCACCTATGTTTTCCTTTTTTTGAATGATATATATGTGTAGAGTGGCTGGATGCTATGACAGGTGTAGGTTTAAATTTTTAACAAAATGCCAAACTGTGTTTCCCCAGGCTGCACCCTGTCATGTTCCTGCCAGCGCTCTATGAAAGTTCCAGTTCCTCCACTGCCTCACCAATTTCTGATAAGATCAGCCTTTTTCATTTTAGTCATTTCAGATGACTGCCATCTCATTATGGTTTTAATTAGCAATTCCCCACTTACTAATGATGGCAAGACGAGCTAACTTTCTAAGAATTCTTTTGTTGTTAAATGCAGCTTTAGTTAGAAACAAAGTATCCAGATGCTTCTGTCAGATCAGTATTTTAAATATGGCAGGTCAGTTAAAAAACATGGGAAGTAAAGGCCAATGACTTTATTTGTCAGTCATACTACCTGGGATCCTAAGATTTAATTTTACTAAAAACATTAAATAAAGCATCTGTTACTTTATTTCTCAGTATCTACCCAGGTTGGTTTTTCTTTTTTTGTATGTCAGTTATCAAATTTCATACGATTCCAGAATTTTAATTTAAAGGAGTTTTAGAGCTGAGCTGGTTCAACTCTTGGCTCTTGCAGGTTAAGGAAAAGAAGCCCCCGTGACGAACCCACCCTCAGGACACGGGCAAAAGCAACCGCTGGTGCTAAGCTTGCACTGGAAAAGAGACCTCCAGATCCAGTCCCACGCGCACTGACACGGTACTTCAGCACCAAAAATACCACTCAGTGGTTCACCAAATACGGACCAACGTTCTGCACCATCTGTAAAGGGCCCATAATCACGAACACACTCTTTTGGGTTTGTTGTTGCTCCTGTTTGCTCTCGTCTAAATCCTAAACCCTCATGAACACGGTTGTTGCATTTATAAACGGAAGGGTGACGGCATGATGGCCACGAGGAATCTCCCAATTTGTTCCTAAGAAAAACCTTCCATGTTCTAGAGGTCACATTGCACAGCAGCAGCATTATGGATTGAAGAGATACTCTAACAAAGCATTGGCTCTGTGACCTAAGACATCACGGAATCTCTCCGAAACCCAGATCACTAAATAGGGATCCTCAGACCAAGACCGGCCTCAAGGAGCCACTCGGAGGGCAAGAAGACAGGCGGCGTAGGAGAGCGCTAGGTGATCAGCGGGGCTCTGTACAATGTAATCACCTGAGGTATAACCAGCCACTCAAATGAAGTGAAGAGCCAGGATTCGGTAAACGAAACCAGGGATGTGCCACTTAGGCTGCACTGAGCAAAAACCAAAATTTCACCAAAACATGTTAGCACATCAAAATATTTAACCAAAAACATACAGAATATGTTATCTAAAAGGTAGGCTTTTCTAGCTGAAACGATTTCAGCAGCTTCCTGGTAACCTGCCTCCTACTTGGTCCCCAAACCCTCTCGGCCACAGGTGGCCCTGCAGCCCTCCCACCTTCTGATCCCCGTCTGCCGATAAACACTATGAAAAGGTGGGCCTGTTCAACTACATTTATTCCACTGCAGAGGACAACTGATAAACAAACAAAACCCAATTCTTCAGTCCCTTTCCCTCACAATCTCAACTGTCACCTTCCACCTTAATACACATGCTGCCCAGGAGCTGCCCCTACCTCGTCACTGTGTGAGAGAACCAGGAAAAGGGGCGTCACCTGGAGTGCGCCTGTCTGTGAGCCAGCCCCAGGTGATGGGCGGCAGGTGAATGGGTGAAAACTGGAGACACATACGGAATGCAGAGAGAGGCATGCGTATCACACGCCGAGTCCTCAGAAACAGTGCTCGTGCACTGGAGTGCAGCTTCACTTCCATACACTGTGAAGAGGAGACGGGAGATCAAAACCAATGCTCGGAACTGGCCTGGGGCACGGGGCGTAAGTGTGTTTCTACATAACTCCACGGCAACAGCCTAAGAGATGATTAAAACAAAACACTTCTAAGGTAATATGGAAGCACAATTAAGAGCGTGGCTTCTGAAGCTAGATCGCTTGACTCTCTATCCTGCCTTAACATTTCCTAGGCTGTGGCCTTGGGCAAGTTACTTACCCAGGACCACGGCTCTGATTTCTCATCTGTTAACACGGGCCTAAGTGCCCAGCTCAGACAGCTGCCGGCAAGATTAAATGAGTGGACACGTGCAGAGTGAAGAAATAAGTAAATGTGAGCCACTATTACTAGTTCTGTTCTTGTAAAAATACAAAAAAAGTGGCTAGTACTTGGGGTGCCTGGGGTGCCTGGGTAGCTCAGTGGGTTGATTGTCCGACTTTTGATTTTGGCTCAGGTCCTGGTCCCAGGGTTGTGGGATCAGGACCCATGTCAGGCTCTGTGCTGAATGTGGAGCCTGCCTGAGAATCTCTCCCCCCCCGCCCCTCCCCTGTGCGTGCTCTATCTCTCTCTCGAATAAAAATAAGTAGATAAGATGAGATGAGGTAAATGGGGGTGGGGGGGCCTGGGTGGCTCAGTCGGTTGAGCATCCAGCTCTCAGTTTCGGCTCAGGTCGCGATCTCGTGGCTTCGTGGGTTTGAGCTCCACATCAGGCTCTGTGTTGGCCGCGTGGAGCCCGCTTGGGATTCTCTCCTCTCTCTCTCTCTCTCTCTCTCTCTCTGCCCCTCCCCTCCTAAAATAAGTAAATAAACTTTAGAAGGTAAATAAATAAAAGTCTTCCTTTGCTAGATAGTTTTCCGAACGTATCCAGGTTCCTATCTACTGTTCAAAATATGTCACTTAGTCTGGTAGACTTAACACCATCCTGCATTTACATCTTTTTACACCTAAAAATAGTATGAGGAAAAGGGGCTGGAATTAGTCCACCAGAGTCCATAGAAACCACTTCCCCTTGGTTCCAGGGGAAGCAGCATGAGGATTTGTGGGTCAAGCCTTTTCCTTCCCTCCTAAGTTTATTTCCTGCACATCCTGGACACTTGAACATGCATCCACAGTGGACTGGGCTCACCCTGCCTGGCCAGCTGTGGAACCGGCCAAGGGCCACCCCAAAGAGGAAACCACAGAAATGGATCCTGGGATGAGGCAGTTGAAAGGGGAACAATAAATGAGGTAGAAGGAGGAAGGTTCTATTTAAATCCATAATGTCAAAATGCTCACAAATCCTTTGCCACTTTAGAATCTTTTTTCCTGGTACTACAGAAAATATTCTCATTCAATTTGGAGAAAAAAAGGATTCTCAGATAAAAGTCATTTCTGCTGTCAGTTGGTGATGAACTAATGCATATCATAATGCAGTAAAATTAAGGTAAAGTCTATTTTTAAGCTGTTAAATTAGTACATACAATGCCTAAAATAACCTCTGAATAAAAGAATGAGAAAAGTCTCTAGGATGCCTGTGAAATTTTACCGTACGTTTCTAGGCATGAAAAAAACTGCACTTCGGTGCATGCTGTCATTTACCATAAAGAGATCAA